GCGCAGCCTTAAGACATCTGTACATTGTGGCAGTGGGCCAGAACCTTGCTCACTCTTTGGCTTTGACCCCGTTCGGGAGGGGCACAGCGTCTTTCTTCTTCAGCTGGAAGCGGCTCACCATGTTGCGCCTGGGTCAGCACTTCAGTGCAGGGACAGCAAAAACGGTAGGCTGCAGGCCAGAGCAGTTATTCATGCAAAGTCATCACTTAGCCCAGGGGAAGGCATGCGGGCAATTTCGGAAGCTCTCCTGGGCATCACCACAAAAAGGGTGAGTGCATCTGCCTAGAGCCGCTTGCCATTTCCATATGTGACCCAGAGGAGGTCAGGTGGGGGAAAGCAAGAGGACCTCACTTGGCAGTGAAGCCATCCCTGCTCCCAGGAACATGCTTTGTTCTTTAGAACAAGCAAACAAATACATGAAAAGTGGAAGGGACAGTGCATATTGGTGAATGTCAAGAAAGGTGTCTGGGGGAACGCACTGCTGCCTGCAGGTGCCACATGGCCCATCCAGGGTTTAATGCCTGCTCTGTGGGCACGTTTTTCCTTCCAGGTTAAGCCTTCATCTTTCTGTTAGTGATGCAAGGCCCAGGGGAAAATAAAGGGAGGAAGGAAGGGGGGCCAAGGGGGGGAAGCTGAACACATTTCATGTCTCACAAGTCTTTGAGGAGGAAGTAATTCTTCCCCACCCTTTTTCTATTCCCCTTACTTTCCCCACAGTTCCTCCTTGGTTTTCTTAGAATTCCCCACTGAACTTTCATAGAATTTACTTCTTAGCAAATGGTTGTAGAATCAAGCTGTGCAGCCACTGGAAAGTAAATCCCACTGAACTTGGTTTCATGTATTAATCAGGTTGTAGCCCTACTCTGAATTTGCAGTGGGCTCCAAAAATCTCAAGTGCCAATGTTTACACTAAAATCCTATCCAGAACTAGCTACTATATTTATTTGGTAGGCTGTTCTTTCTTGGTTTGGGGGCCATTCAGTGGAAAATAATCAGAAACTGCCTTCCTATATAGGTTGATTTGAAATTGAGCTCTGCTGAATTAGTGGCGCTTCCTTATTTATTTAAGTTTTCTTCCATCTAATATCCAAAATGGATCTCTAGACTGTTTACAGAAGATTAAAAAATATCAGCTCATTAAATAAAATGTAATCTTCAATAAATGCATAAACACACAGTAAATCCCATTCAATCACTAAAATTCTGGGTGAATAGAAAGTTTTGGCCAGGTACTGAAATGAATAAAGCAGCAGTGCTATGCACAGCTCTCTGAGGAGCAGTTTCATAGTCAAGGTGCAACCACAGTAAAGGCCATTCTGTGGAAATGCTCCCAGGCTCCAGGTGTACATGGCCCTAAGTTATGTTGCCCTTTTTGGGGGGCTGGTTCGCACACAGACTGTGCCTGCTTTCTCTACACGATGTGTAGCCAGGTGTATGACCACATGGAAAAGCATTATTACAAGCCGGCTAGAGTGCTACAGCCATTTCAGTGGTCACAGCAGCTTGAAAAACAGTCCCACATTTGTAGCTAACCTTACTGAGAGGAACAGCCTCTTTTAGGAAGTAGTGCAGATAAAAGTTAGATGAAAACAAAAGCCAGGAAAATAGTGTTATCAGCACCTTGCAGGGCTGGGCTGAAACAGGGACACCTCTTTTGAAATGATCAGCGGATGGGACTAGCGTTATAGAATAATCAACACAGTTTTGTTGCCAAGTATTGTGGATTTGGCATTGTTCATCTTTGATACCGTAACTTGTGTTTCCAGAAGAAATCATCAGCAAAAAAGCAAACAGGACGATTTACTGATTTTCATGCTCTCAGCAAATAAAAATAGCAGGGAAGAAGCCTGAATTCATTGTTCATATGACTTCGTTGCAAGCTTTATCTTGTTTGCTGAAGAAAAATGTAGACAAGTCTTGAGAAGCCTTGATTATACCTGCAGGGCACAATCACAATGAAATAGGTGACCTCTGGGGAGGGCATTCTGCAATTTGGGGACCAAGGCAGAAAAGGACTGCTCACAAGTAGCCACTCGCTGGATCTCAGCGCATGGAGACACTGAAGGTAGGACTTCAGGTGATGACCTCAAGGCAAGGGCAGGACCATATGGGAAGCAACAGCCCCTTAGCCATAATGGCCCCAAGCAGTGAAAGGCTTTGTAGGTTAACACCAGCTCTTTGAACTGGGCCGAGAGATGAACTGGGGGCCTGTGAAGATGGTACAGTACTGGAGTAATATGGTTATAATGCCCAGTTCTAGTCAGTACCTCAGTTGCCATGTTTTGCACTAACTGAAGTTTTCGGACTACTTTCAAAGGCTTACTCCTAGGTTAGTATGCATAAGATGGTACCATAAGTGGAATACTTGAATTCTCACCTGTAGAAATGGAAAGTATGATCCTCATTAATATCTTAATTCTCTGCTAGCCCCGGCACTCTCAATGAACCACCCTCACCTGTAACAGACAAGATGTGGAAATTGAAGCTTCATGAAGGTTGCCTCTAAACTTCCTGGAAAGGAAGGGTTCAGATGGGACCTCTGAAGGACTTGAGGCCCTGGCAGATGCCCAGCATTGCCTTCCCACCCTCTGGAGCGAGTCTTGATCACAAGCATATTAAATGTGGACTAACAGTAGAGAGAAAAAAAATCAGATTGTGGACTTTTGTTTGTCCACTATAAATAAGCCTAATATTTCCTGTTCCTCTTGTAGTCTAAAGAATGGCATCATAGGCTGGAAAACAATTAAGGGAAATGGAGTGAGAGTCAAACAATTAAGGGAATGTGTAAACAATAGTCATTGAGCAAAGTGTGTCCTTAACGGTCCTGTTCATTTGCTGAGGTGTAAATCATAATGTGGTTGCTACTAAAAGAGCCATCTTCATAATTAGAAGACTGGGCTAGACATAGGGGAAATTAAAAATCCTCAGGTAAATATATGAGATGATTTAGGAAAGCATACCCAGGAAATGTGGTGAACTTGGATAGGCAAAGGTTGCAGATAATGGTTTTGATTAAGGATTATCTACCATATGCCAATAGATGAGAAAACAAGGACTTTATATATAGCACATGACCGACACCTTTAAGAAATCAACAACTCCTTTTGTGATATATCATATTTCATGATATATCACAAGCATTTCTGTGTTAGACCAGTTTAATTGCTACAGCATCTCCCAAACAATAATGGTCATCGTGGTCTGGCAAGACTGCAAAAAGATCTGACGAGAGGCTGTACTGCCCAACCCTCATCCCATCATATGTGCCATTCCTTGCTCTTTAGCAGATGAAGTGATGTCTGCAATACAGAAAATAAAATACAGCTTTATGCTCATCTTCTCAGCCCAGGTTTTAAACCAGCTTATAGCCTTTTTCCAACTATGAGGTGGATCAGTTCCATAAGGAAGCCATGGGCTGGAGTTTACAAGAGCCGAGAAAGGCCGTCAAGGACAGGGTGTGCTGGAGGCCATTCATTCATAGCCTCAATGTAAGTGGGAGACAGCTTGATGGCACATAACAAAAAACAAATTGTTTTAAAATGTTGACTAAAGGATTAAAGGGGGTATGGGAGAACTTTATAACATTTTGAATAGCATAGAAAGAATGGATAAGGAGGACTTTTCTCCTCTCGTAATGCAAAAACTTGAGCTCAAGTGATGGAACTTATTTGCAGATCCAAAGTATTCCATTTGGTATATGGTAGTAAGTAATGTGGCATCTATAGGTTTAGTCACAAGGGCACCTGCCCTCCTTGAAATGCCGTCCTGGGAAAAACTTACCTCAATCAAATCTAGGGGTGGGGAACTTGTGGCCTTCCAGGTGTCATTGGTTTTGAAATCCCAGCACACCAGGACAGCATGGTTAATGGTCAATGATGATGGGAATTGTAGAACAATGAAATCTAGAAGATCATGGGTTACCCATCTCTAGTCTAATCTCATACTAATGATATAAGATTATACTATACTAATCAGTGATTATACTATACTAATCAGGTAATTCTTTAGTTTAGTTTAATCCCATTTAGGTTAATTACATCACCAGAAAGTAGTCTTGATACAGTCTCTGCCAAGGACATTGTGTAAGGAACTTTAAGTTCTTTGCACACACCATTTTCCTGGAGGTTAATGTAATAGAGAAGGGGAAGTAATTGTTTCGTGAAGATTTCTCCTATCTAGACCATGACTGTGCAGGAGTGCTTACTTTGCAGGTTGGTCTGTATGTTTATTTGGTTATCTGCAGTCTTGCAGATGCAAGACTTTGTAACCTGTGTCAGCAATGATGAAGAGAAAGAGGCAAAATTAGTTTTGCCGGAGACTGGAATACAGTCCATTGAAGATAAAAGATGCTAAGATGGCATCAGTTAACTTTAATTATCTCTGCAGCACATTCAATATACAAAACACTTTACAATGTTCATGTCATTGGCTGGGGCATGCTGGGAATTGAAGGCCTTTTTCTTGTCTAGACAAGCATAGGAACGTGCCCTTATCCTATGAAATGTGTGAGTCTGAGAGTTGTAGCTTGCCCAAGGCCCTGTCCAGTGATATAAGTGATCTAGCTTTATGCAAGTATGAACAAAAAGCGGTAAAGAGTGAGATTCTTTTCTCTCTGCCTCATAATATTTCATGGATTATGTTGAAGTACCAAGACTCATTTGACAATCATTAGTAGACCTCCTACATAACCTATATTATTTGTTTATTTAATTCCATATAACAGCACGGCTTACAATTTATTTCAGCCATGTTTTAAAAGCCACCAAAAAGTACACTTTTTGTGGATACAACTTTAGAAGTCCTAACCCAGTGTTTGTGTGTGAAAGTTTGTGCGTACAGAGAAACAGACAGATATAAATTTAATGTTCTGTCCTTGATTAGGCAAGACAGCAAATTTTCATATGGATTGATAATTCAAATTATAATGCCCTGAATATAGCTTTCTGTTTTCTCCACCCTCACAACTGTGGTATCTCTTGTCTCTCCTTTGTTGCTGGTAGGCACCTCTTTGCACCTGGCTACACCGAAACTCATTATACCAAGGGTGGACTCCCCCACACAGTCACTTTGAACATGACCGTAAGTATCCCTGTGTCACAAGACAGCCTGGATGCAGAATCCTGGTGAGTTCTGCATGAACCTAAAACTGGGAGTCATGCCAGGAGCAATTAGAAAGAAACTAATCTGCTGGAACAAACAAACAAATTCACTTGGGTACAAGTGACTGAAAACTGGAAGAGTAAATGGGATACTGGGAAATATTTTGAGGGGGCCCTCGCTACACTGTTGGAGATGCCCCATTGCCAGGTCTGTGGTGGGGAGTTCTTACTTGAATCTGGTGATGGTTTGACCTTGCCTCATCCCCACATGGGGATTGTATGGGTGTCCATGAGCTGTCCACTTCTAGTCAGAGGGATCTGAATTCTTGTTCTGCTCTCAGTGTTGTGTAAAATTAGGTGATGGCAGGTTCCCACAGCACCATCCTCATGAAATTGCTGGCAATTTACTGAAAAACCATGAAAATGCACTAATTGTTTTAAAAATAAAAGCCAATAAAAATGGAGGTCATACTTCTGGATATCATTGCTTCCTCCCAGCATAGGTATTCCTTAGAAAGATCATTTGATAGGATTTTATTGGCAGTGGAGTTGTAAAACCCACTTCTCTGCCAAAAAATGGGAATCAATGACAGGAACCAATATAATAGGGATGTCTCTCATTCATTCATTCTATTTATATGCTGCCATTTTCCCATTCAAAGAACTCAAGGCAGCTTGCATCATTCTCCTCCTCTTGCTCTCAGTCTTATCTTCACAGCAACAACCTTGTGCGGTTGGTTGGGCTGAGAAGGTGTGCTTGGCCCAAAGTCACCCAGTGAGCTTCATGGCTGAGGAGAGACTAGAACCCAGATCGCCTGAGTCCCGGTCTTGCACTCTTAACCACACCACCACAGATTCTGATTTCATGGCATTTGGCTTTTTAAAAGAACAAAAAACTAATAATGCCACCAGAACTATTCAACAGAAAAATTGTTATTAACTTCAGTGTGTTTTGCACCCATTTTTTCAGCTGAGATCTTCAAAGCGATCAGCAGTACTATGAACTTAATACTGTTATGTCAAAATTACTGGCTAGAGGTAGTTTACCTGGACTGTATTCAGCTTTTCTGTTTCCTTTGAATGTGAGGTTGCAGGATAGGAATTTCTGGGTCTTTGCCCTCTATTCCTTTGGTAGCTTTAGTGGTGATTCTCTGGTAACAGTACAACATATGTGACTTTTCAAGCTATTCATTTGTTTACTAAATTTATACGCCTACCTGTTCTTCAGAAAGTTCAAGGTGGCATGCAGTTCAGAGCAGGGATTTGAACCCATGTCTTCTCAGTTCAAAATCTCTCATTATTCTAGGTAGACCAGCTACTCATGGCAGTTGGAGTTACTGAAAGGAAAGCGGCCTAAATATGCTTTTAAGAAATATGCTGCCAGGTAGAAATGACTGGCTGTGGTTTCCAGTCTTGATAATATTTAGAATACATCTGCTGAAATCCAGGTGACATGTTTAATCTTGACTAAATTACATCCTGTTGGTTTCAGTCAGGCTGCTCTAAATACTTCCACAAAGCAAAGTTTCTTGTGCTTTGGACACATGTTACATCATCTGAGTACCATGGGACTAGGCAAGGTGGCCTCAAGAAGGCACCAGTGTGCTCTTGAGCACATTTCTTGGCACCCACAAAGGTTCCCTACCCCTCCCGTTTTTAATTTCTGTTAGTAATAAAATTTCTTAGGGTTCTCTCAGGGCTCTGGCTGGTTCTCATCTTCTTTCCCTTATGAATGAATGTCCCTGAGCCACATGTAGGGAATGAAGATGGTAGGTCGCTGCAGGCTGCAAATGCTTTCACCTGAGCTGCATCCATTTGGTAGCTGAACCCGGGATAGTTTCTCAAATTGCCAAGCACCCCTCAAAATTTAAATGAATGTGACCATAACTTGACATCTCATGTATTAGCATACAATTGCTGTGTGTATGTGTGTATATGATAGAGAATGAATGAATGAATGGGAAAATGAGTTATGAATTTGAGGAGAATGTGGAGCATTGGTATAGTATTGTGAGATTATATGTCCATGAAGGATTAGTTAGGCCGTGATGGAATCTGGGCCTTTTGTTATTTTTTTCCCACATAGTGCTTAATTCAATTCCAACAAAATGGAGTAGGAAAGTGGGAGGAGAGGGAGGGTGGAAGTAGAAAGAAGAACTTATAATTTACAGAGTATCTTCCTATGGCAATCTCCATTTTCTTCTCTCAGGATCATTGCTTTTACCATGGTAACGTGAGGGGAATAGAGAACTCAGCTGTGGCACTCAGCACATGCAGCGGTCTACGGTAAGGTCTTGCAGTGTCTCAAATTAGATTAATTCTCTGAGTTCAGAGGGATATTCTCATAGCTCACAATTCACTATTTCAAGATGGAATAATGGCCAAAAGCATATGTCACCTCCTGCCCCGTTTTTGTAAGTAATTGAGACATTTATGGAGAAATGGTGAGGTTGTTCTGCTTGTGAACTGCCATGGTCACCTGGATGGCTTTTGCTGGGCACAGAATGTCAGATCTAACCCATCAGGGTAATTCTTAGGTCCTTCAGGCTGAGACGTATCAAAAGGCACCAGTGAGGAATCCCAAGACTTATGCATGCCAAAGAAGGTTGCCTATATTTTCTTTGTTTTAATTTCCAAATGCCATTAAAATGCACTAGGTACTCCTAAAATTAATTTCTCTCAGTTATTATTTATAATACAATGTATTTATTATATCTGTAGCCCACCTTTTCCCCCTAAAGGAATCAAGGTGGCCTGCAAACCCCTTCTTCTCTCCATTTTATCCTCATAACAACTCAGGTAAAGTAGGCTGAGAGCCTGTGACTGTCCTTGAGTCACCTGGTGGTGCCATGGCAGAGTGGGCACTAGGACTTCGAGCTCGCAGCTTCTATGCCAGCACTCCACCTGCTACACCATGCTGGCTCTCTAGGCTTGCCTCCCTACCTCCAGTGGGGGTCATATTTGCATCTTTCGATCAATCAGCTTAGGAAGGTAGAGAGTGCAACCTGAATTTGCTAATTTCAGTTTCTTATTTTCCCTGTCAGTTTCTTTCTGTCCCCCCTTTCTTTCTGTGAATTTACAGAAGAAACGTTTCCAAGAAAGACTTGTATGCATTTCCTTGTGCATTTACATTATTATATCCAGTTTTGTATGCACAGTTGCCTAATATCAAAACACTTCTCACAAGCCATTTGCTCATATCCAATGCTCTTTTGCCGTTTTCAGTGATCTGTACAATTTTGTGCATGACTTTTAAAAAGAAATTTCTTTAGAAAAACGTTTCTCAACATTTTTAGAAGTGCAAATATCAAGGAATAACCAAGAGTTTATGCAGGAAAGCACAAATCTGGTCGGTTCTTATCCAAATGAAACCAACAAAATGCTTTCCTGTCTCTACCATCTCAGTCCAGCATCAGTTCTCTCAGGTTTTAGGCCAGGGTCTTATTCAGGCCTACCTGGAGAAGGTTGGGTGCGAACTAGGAACTTCTGCATGGAACAGACATGCTCTATCACCAAGTTACAGCCCTTTTCCAATCTTGACTAACTTCAGAATCTCATCTTTTCCCTCATGCTTGCTCCCCAGAGTTTAATTCCTTCTTCTCACAACACTCTTCTGTATTTCACGCATGCACTTTTTTGCATCTTTTGGTTTCGGCATTTATAGCCATTTTAAACACATTTCCCCTGCAAAGCAATCTCCATGGTTTATCCCTCCTACCAACAGTTGCATTTGACAGTATTCGTGAGGAGCTGTGAGTCTGTAACGCAGATTGCATTCGGATGCGTCCATGTGAGGAAGACTTGACCTCCCCAAACAAGAAAAGATACTGCTTTTGTAAACAGGACACAGTCACCTTTACTCAAAGCCATTTGAAATCTGGGCTTCTATCCAGTCAGGAAACAGTTCAGGCCATTTTTTAAAAAGAATCCCTCAACAACCTCAAGTCACTTTTAATGTAAACCAACTATCAAGTGTAAACAAAGCAAACCCCAGTCATTTGGGGCTGACCTAATGCACAACAGCACAGACAGAGTAGGAAGCATCGCAGGTGCAGCCTGACCCACTCCCCCCCCCCACCTCTGATTTTCCGGCTCTTTTCTGCCTGCCAAGTTGCCCTCTAACAACACGCTCCCCATTTGCAGTAGAGTGGCTCCCTGTGCTGGCCAGCATCCTTCGTGTTGTCCGGACTTTGAAGTCATTCTAGGATTACTGGAAGTATACAGAAGCTAAACAGCTTGCACGTGTCTTGATTTCTCGAGGCAGGAGCCGTGCAAGTGAGGAGGGGTGTGACTCTGTCCCCACAGCCAGAGCCATCTTTCTGTCTGCACTGCGTTCAGAACAAATCCATTTCAGAAAACGTTCCCAATCTTTCAGCATAAAAGCAACACGCAACAGGCTTGTATAGACTAATTCACATAACGTTATACTAAATTAATTCTCTCTGTGAAAAGCAGGCCTGCTTGAAGCCTTTGCTATGGACAACTGCCTCAACATGCACTGAAAAAATGGGCCTGGCTAGTGTATGGATTATTAATGCATTTGCCCCCTTACCTCCAACTGCCTCATAAACATAAACAGCCATGTTACCTTGTTTTGTCATTACAGCAGCCCTGTGAGGTAGGTTTGGCTGAGGAAGTGTGTCTCCCGCCAGGATGCTATGACTGTGAGGGCACCAACACTGGATGGACAATTAGATATATTATTTATTAACAGAACATTCAGGACTGCTAATATTTATTTTGCTGCTACCTCCCAGCATTTACTGCCTGAGGCAGTCTCCTCAGTATGTAGCCCTGCCCTATTCCAAGCATATGAAAAAACTTTTAAAAATATAATTGTTCAGATTTTTTTAAATTGTATATGTAAGATTGGATTAGAAGAGCTTACCTTGGAAGAAGGCTGGGGAAGCAGAGTCTCCAGTAATAACTGCAAGATTATTGATACTGATCCCTCTAATTTGTTCAGCCCTTATCTTTGCTTAAAAACCAGCCACACAACAGACTCAGAATTAAATTAAGGCCACACTGGAAGGAAATTGCCTCAAGGTCTTGACTAAAGCAAATGCTCTCTCTTATAGATACAGTAAGAAGGTGGCAGGGAGAATTGCTGTAGGGTCTATGATGAATGGTAGCCACTCTTCCCTTAGATAATAACGGGCCTGATTCTGTGATGGCCACCATTTTGGCCTCGATCAGGACGAACTTGCATCCTCATACAGGGTTGGCTCTAGGTTGCTGAGGGTGCACCGCTCATGCTGCTACCACCTTCTTGCTGCCTTTGTCATCCATTCTCTGGCTCCTCCTCCTGTTTTTCCTCATTTCCAGCACTTGCCTGTTTGACTGGCAGAGCCAGGAAGCATGGAGGTTGTAGCATTTGCTTCTGCTCCTCCTTGCAGCCACCATGGCCTGGGCCAGAGGGAGAGGCAGGAGAACAAGCAGGTTGCTATGATGAAGGCTGAAGCAAGCCTGGGGCTTCTGTCAGTTGAGCCTGCAGGAGCGTGTGGCTCCTTGGCTTGGCATCCGAGCCATGCCTGCCCTTGACACCAGTCCTGTCCTCGTAACCAAAAAACTGCCTCTCTCTTTTATTTAGACAAAACCACAAGCTGTAATCAAATTCTATCAGGCTCCAGACAAGGGGACCCAACCCCTGATTTTGGTTGAGGCGATGCAGTGGCTTAGCAAGTGAATAGCCCTCTAAAATTCATCAGTATTTTTAGACATCTGTCAGGCAATCTCTCACATAAAGCTCTGTCTTTATTTCACACTTCTCATGCCTCTAAAAATTGCTAGAGAGTCTATTTTAGAAAACAGGGAGGCCTCATATAGCTGCAATTCAGATTTCTCAGTTTCCTGAAAATCAACAGCCCAGTTCTCCTATATTTGCAACACACTCATCTTGCGCAATTTCTCTTTGCCAATATTTTGACATAAGCCTCTGGAAGCAATCTGGTGGGCATCTTACAAAGAGGTCTGTGTAGTCAAGCTTTCAGAGAATCCTAATTTGTTATTGAAAATGCAGATAAGTGTCTGAGTCAAGGAAGAGTTTGGGCTTTTAAGGGCAGCTGTCCAAACAATCATGGAAGACTTCATCATAATGGTGCTCAGTTTGCTTGAAGTTGGACCGCCCTGGTAGCTTAGAGAATCTTATTCCAGTAATGACCTCTAAACTGGAATAGAACTTGCAGCATCTATAAAATTTGGACAGCTTGCCCAGACTATAGCACTCCAAGAATCACCATAATGTTTCCTGTATGTTTTAATCATTTTCCTTTACCCTTCTCCTTAATAATTCTGTTTAACATAATATATAGCATTTTCTTTCCTTATAATTTATTCCACAAAGCAAAATAAGCTAATTGCCAAGAGGATTAAATTCAAATATATGTCAAACTCATCACCTCATTCCCTTGCTTATTTCAAAGATTAATGTACAGTTAATATTTTCCTGCCAAATTTTTACATCTTGATATCATTTGAATTCTTTCCTGGCTTCCAGGGTTAACAGTTTGATTAATTCTGATCTAGGAAGACTGCAAGCTGGAAAAAACAGTTTGGGAACTTCCTCTTACTAGGAATGAAATTAAACAACAAAACCATTTTTACCAGAATCATGTAAAACGTACTCATAAAAGCATTTTGACTTTTCTTTTTTTAAAGAGAGTGGTTTTCAACCCTACTATTTTTGGGGGTCCTTTCCATATTGGTACTTGTCTGCCAAAGAATCTCCTTGAGCACTGGCAGTGGCCATGGCGGTAACAGCGGGAAAGCACTGGTGGAGAAGCAGTGCAGGTTCTAGTGAGGCCTGAGTGGATGCCAACCCACCAGTCTTGCCCATCCCTGCTCTGCAAGGAGGATGCTGTTGCATGTAAAACTTCTGTGCAAGACAGAACATCAATAGTGCTTCATTACGCCAATAAATAATTGGAATTAATCATGCACTGCTCCATCTTACTGTTCCTTGCATTGGTTTGTCTTGTTACAGTAGCTGAAGTGGTTGTCAGTAGTGTATTTTAAACACATTTTAGCATATGTGCACAATCATGGTATTTTAATATATTGAGCAATATCACAAAAACCAGGAGAATGGCTTCTGGTTTGCATGGAAGTCTTTCTGCAGACATTCATCCTGTATGCACAGATGCCCCTAACACAGCAACTTCAGGGGCAGAGCTACTTGATGAGGCCCCATCCTCTTTTAGGATCAAGTAAGTGGGGGCTATGATGGATGGAGATGATGGTATTATGTAGGGTATTAGCTTCAAAGCTGGGACTTCTATGCACATTCTCTCTCCCTGCCCACTTGTGAGCTAGTGATTCCTCTCCCATGATAGGAAGTTGGTTGATCCTGCGGGCTGCCCATCCTTTAGGCTGTGGACCATCACTGACAGGCCTGTGACCTCTTCCCTTGAGGAAGAACACCATCCACTGACAGCCAGATGAATATACTAAAACAGAAGTTTCTCAAAACCTGGGGTCACTTCCCCACTTCCATAACAAATTTCCCCACCTGGGAAAAATACTTAGTTTCCAAATAGCATCTTTCTTAAGGGAGCAAATGCAGTATATCCACAAAACTCTGTTGTATCTGATCCTTAGTCCTTTCCCTGGTATTAGACCTTCACCCAATACCCAAAATGTTTAAAAAGAAGGCTAAATTGTTCAGCTGTGTCATAGCATTGTTTTTTTGTCTTTGCAAGGAGAAAGTTGTGTTTTAGTCCTAAAAATGTGCATTGGATCACTGTTATGGCTACAGTTTCCACGGCACTAACTGTAAAGAAGGCATGAAATCTTATTCATACCCAATACAGAGACATCTGCATCTTAGGCATGAAGCCAAGTCCAGCTTGCCTGGGGTTCCATTATGGCCTTTTGGGGTACCCTGTATGGCCGCAACTCCCTCTGCTGGCCTCATACCTTTCCATAGACCACTCACCATTTGATGGCTTTCTGGTTTCCATGCAGGTTTTTTTTTTTAATTGAAAAGTTCCATTGTAAAGTCTCCTTTAAAATTTAGTCAATGGCAGTAAAATATACAAAAAGTGAAGCTGGTATTGGTTCATGTTCAGATAACTTGTCATGTGCCTATATGCATGTCTCATTGGAAGTTAGCCCAACAAGTGGTTACAGAATTCCAGCCATAATTTAATATTTGAATAATCACATGTTATGCATTTTATACCCTCTTTCTTGTTGACATTGTTTTTCAGTGGCCTTATAGTTCTAAGCAACAACCTCAGTTATATCCTGGAGCCTCGTCCTGACAGTCAGGAGCAGCACTTCATCTACAGGTCTGAACATCTCAAGTTTCCCAGGGCTACCTGTGGAAACCTACACTTGCGGTCAAATACTGTGGATTTGCATACTGAGTTGACAGACCAAGCTGAGCCTGGTCATCACTTCAGGGTTAGTACTTCTAAATGACACCATTATATCCTATAAGAGCTCTCTCCTGTATTGTAGCAAGGTGACACTCATGCATTATCTTAGCAAGCCTTACAACTAATCTGTAACTTATGGTGGTTTAGTACCTCACATTATATATGGGTGTCTGCAGCCAAAAAATGGTGCCTTTCATAAGGTTGCCCAGTGAATTAATCTCTTCACTAGGTTGTTTGTTGTTATCCTGTGCCATCAAGTCATCTCCAACTTATGGTGAACCTATGATTGAGTACCCTCCAGAATACCATATCCTGCTCAGCTCTTGCAAATTCAAGGCTCTGACTTCCTTCATTGAGTTGATCCATCTCATATTGGGTCTTCCTTGTCTCTTTGGCCTTCCATTTCCCCCAGCATTATACTCTTCACCATACCAGCTCTTTTTTCCTCATTGCTGATTTATTTTAATATTCTTCTGAGGCTGAAACAGAAAGGTTTGTCAACCTGTTGACCAACATTTAAGCCACCAGGTAAAGGATCCATAAGGTACAGATGTTTTTGAGTTGTTTTACAGAGTCACACAAACCATCTTTGAACACTGCATTCAGAACTGGTGTGCCTGAATGACACAGTCATTCAAACTTTCCTTAAAATTAGGAAGACCAGACACATTGTCTAATGTGCTGACTTTATGAAAACTTCAAAAATGCAGTTTTAAAGTATAGGCCTTTGGAAAGACAGTCACAAGAGAAAAGCCCAGTAATTTTTTTTGATGGATTCATAAATACATTGACAACTGAATATGAATGCGTGTGATCCAGAACTGCTGAGTATGTGTTTTACTTGAGAAGTGTGAGAATGAGGCTAAGTTGAGGAAGAGAAATCATGCATGAACCTAGGAAAATGATATAGTTAGAAACACATGTTGCTACACATCTCCCATCAACACGCACTGTAAGGGACTACCCATGTTATATAAATAAGGGAACTTTTTTACCTTAAAACCACCATGTGGACAATGCCTTTTTGTAACTTACACAATGGATGCTTTTTAAAGAATGTATAATTTAGACTTTAAGAAGCTTTATAAACCAGTTGAACAAACATATTTCTGTGCTTCTGCCCTAGATGAAGAGGGATGATCAACATTCTATGAAATATGTGGAACTTTTACTAGTGGCTGATTTTGCAGAGGTAAGAGAAATAGGTGTTTATACCAGCTCAAAAGCAAGTTTAGGACTGATTAAAGTCCAGTGTCAAACTATACATATATCACACAGGAGATCAGTGACTAAACCTTCCAGTGACTGATTTTTACTTAAAAGTAGCTGTCCCAGTATCCTGTAGTTCCATTTTTTTCTCCAGTACCACTAATATTAACTCAGGCAGTGTTGTTGGCTTTTGATTTGAAAAACAGCATAGAAAGAGAGAGGTTAAGTCCCCCTGACTTGCAGTTCAATTTGCAATTGCACATGGCTGCTTTTCTGTAAAACTCAAAAATCCAGTTCCCATCACCTAGAGAAGGTGCTGCTTAGCTCCTACCTCTCTGTGTGCAAATCCAACCTAACGATGTTCCCCGGTTCATTTCTGCAAATATAAGTCTCCATTCTTGTTCATTTAGGTTCCTAAACGATTACTGAAACATTTAGTAAAGGATGAAATTGTGGTTGAGACCACTCACTTATTTCATGTAGCCCTTGCAAGCAATTGACAGAGACAGAAAAAACATCCTGTCTGAATGTGCCTAAAATCTGTTTCTAATCAGCAACCTGGAACTTGCTGGGTCCATGTCTTGTTAACCACTCCCAGGGGCATGAGGTCATGCCTGCTTTGATTTTAATGGCTTTTTTTCCTGGCACACTCTCCTTCAAAGACGTGGCGGCTGCTTGTATACTTTATCCGCACGAACATGATCTTCTCAGTGGATCTTTATATGGCTTGTTTCATCCCCTTCTAATGTTCAATGATGTGAAGTGCAGCACCAGCTCTCATTCGTTCTAAGAAAGCTAGAGCAGAAATATCACTGCATTTCCCTCTTCCTAAGAAGCTGTGCAAAAGGGGTGAGGCAAGTGCAGCTGATACTGGGCTTTCTAATGTTTGTTCGCCCTTACTCCTTTACTAGATGCACAAGATGTACACATTTGTTTAGGGGCCTCATAGAGAAATGGTCAATCTTGTTTTTCCAGACTCATCCTAAGGAAAAAAAATAAAAGCACGTTGTCGCTGAAGGTGATGATGATGATGATGATGTTTTAAAGAGCACACAAACCCACTAATGTACAGAGGGGGAACCTGTGGCCCTCCTCCTGCTGATGGACACACTCCCATCATCCCCAGCCAGTATGGTCAATGGTCAGGTGATGGGAGTTGTACTCAGCATCTGGAAGGTCAACAAGTCCCCACTTCCTGCACTGACACTGACTTGCCCCAAGCAATATATGTTCAGTTAGCAGGCACTCCATTCATACTGCTAGTAGAAGATAAACTTTTAAGCAAGGTTGCAGAGCTAAGGGCCAAATTCTATACTGAAGAAACTCTCGAGAGCACATTCAGGTGGTGGACAGGGCCAAAGATCAGCAGGACAGGACAAAGAGACCAAAGGGCCAGCATATGGTAGCTTAACTGAAGCCTGAGAGAGGCATGTCGGCCTTTAAGAATGGGGAGAACATGCAAAAGCTGGAAACGACCACAGAGTAGGTGCTTGTGGGAGCCCAGCCTGAGGTTTGCACCCCCGTTGTAAAAGATAAACAAAGCACACATTTTCTTCTGAAGAATCGGCAAAGCAGATGCAGCATCTGCCCTTGCAATAGTCATGAATTATGGCCAGCTCAGTGAGTTACTGCAGTTGCTATGCAAACATCTGGACAGGATGAGTTGCTGTGAGGCTAGTATGGGGTGGAGGAACCAGCTGAGCACGAGGGAGAGGGATTTAAAGCCTTGGTGTCTATAAAACATGTTGTGAGCCCCCAGACGATCCAAATAACCTCTGACCAAACCGTCCACATTCCATGTTCAGAGTAATGTCCCAACTGTGTTGTGCAATGCAGAATGGGGATGTGGCCCTGCTGAGGGGAATAATCTGCTGCAGGAGTTTGAGACGAAGCGTTCTGTGGTCTGCTAGGCTCGGAGCTGCTTTTGACATCTGTGGTGCTGTTGCACAGTAAACACTTTCTGTCTGTACACTTCCCGCTGTACCCTCTTAATGCCTGCACAGCTTGTCCATTTGTAAATAAAGCAGTCACTGTGGAGAGATCTTAGATTTTTAGCATTCTGAATTAACAACAACAACAAACCTGACCATAGGAAGGCTATACTTTCTACCCTCTAGAAAGTAGATTTTCTAGATTTGGTGTACTATATTTTCTAACTCTTGAAGCAGCCTATACAAGAGAGGCAGTGTTGCATAGTGGTGAGAGTGCTAGATCTGCATGCAGCCACGAAGCTCACTGGGTGAATCTGGGCCAGTCACTGACTCTCAGCCTGACCTACTTTGCAGGGTTGCTGCTGTGAGGGTAACATGGGGATGAGGATAGAGATTATGTAAGCTGATTGGGTCCCTTACAGGACAGAGTCAGAAAATAAATGTATTGAACAAAAGAAAGTGACAAAATGTAACCAGAGTAAGAATATCATGGAATATAAATAGGTAGCAAAATGCATCAAGCTTTGTTTATTCTGCTTTATGATTTAAGCATGAGCTGGAGGAGCAGTGGCCATGGAGAAAGATTTGCTGAGTGGCATTATTAAGCCAAAACTTTGACTTAACTGGGTTCATGGGATAAACTGAAACACATGCATGGTTCAAATCCCAGTAGGTGGCCAGCAACCATGGGCAGCTCCCCAGAGGCAGATTCACAAGGGAGCCACAAACAGATTCCCGCAGGAGCACATTTCGCAGCAGCTGTCGTTTGCAGAATTGTTTTTCTCCTTTTCTTTCAGTTTCGGAAGCACAACTCTGATCTTCAAGCAACCAAGCATAAGTTAGTGGAGGCAGCCAATTATGTAGATAAGGTGAGACCAGCCATATAAGCTTTACAAGAAAAATGTAAAAGCTGAGAGTCTAAGTAAATGTTACATTTCCTTCTAGAGGAAAAAGGGCTGAGGGCATTGTACCCCCTCCTCACCCTCAAGTCACTTTCTCCTTGTGGATTTCCTGATGCTTCAAAAGACACACCTGCATGTGAGAGAGCCACTGGGAAATTGTTGGCAGCAAAGGAATGGGAGGCAGGCTGTGATCACCACTGTCCCTGTTGTCGGGGCAAGCATGAGCTATGTTGCCCAAGTGTGGGTTTATGCTAGCTCAAAAGCTTCAGGGGTCGAGGTGGAACACAGCAAGGAGTGCTTAAGCTCTGCCTCACATCACCACTCTTGCTCAGGCTACTGTTCCAAATACAAGAGGTGTTGTGGACCAGTTGCAGGTACTTACAAGTAATGCCCAATTTATCCACAAGAATCCGGAAGAACTCGGTTAAAACAGGGTTATAGGGCACCTTTAGCATTTTGCTAAAAGGTTGTGTCAATTTCTTTCCCATGGCAAACAGGGTAAGGCAGCAAGTGATGCAATAGAATTAGCTGGAGTCAGAGTCAGTTGATTAACTGCAGTGCATCTTTCCTTCAACTTCTCAGTTTTACAAATCCCTGAACATACGAGTTGCTCTTGTTGGAATTGAGGTCTGGAATGACCACAATAAGTGTGAGATCTCTGAGAACCCATATTCTACCCTGTGGTCTTTTCTTTCTTGGAGGCGCAAACTGCTAATGTATAAAAAGCACGACAACGCTCAGCTGATAACGTGAGTTCTTATAAAATAGCATTGCCCATTTCTCCGGGTTTCTAGTGACAAGAAGTGAATCAGTGCTATTATTTGTGTAGGTGTTGCTACTTATGCTTTGAATGTCTCAGCAGAGAGGATTCTGCCATGACTCAGAAATGTGAAACACATTTTTAAACAAATATTCATCAGCACACTTGTAGCAAGTCATTTGTAGTTGATACTACTTGCTCTTTGTTTGTGATTTATTATGATTGCAAATGTTACACTTCTACTTGCTATACCATTCACAGTCACTCAGTGTATTATTGATGTATTCCCTTGATTTGCTGAATGTATATTTTCCAAAAGCATCTGTATATTTTTGGGAAGGATATCTAGTTCCTAAAGGGTTGTTTATCATTGCATCTTTCAGTACATTTAACAGAGAGAAAGTGTTGGGAAATGACAGGGCTGAAGCTATTTACTGTTTTTGTTTGACCATGTAAGCATACACACACGCACATATGTATATAGAGAGTGATTTGTCTGTTGGACAAATGCTTTTTGTAGGTTTCAAAATCATGCAGACCATTGCAATTGCAAGCGCATAATTTCTATCATTTTAAATAAAAATCAGTGCAAATTTATTTATTTATTAAAACATTTTTATGCCGCCCCCTTCGCCGAAGCCTTGGGGCGGCTTACAACAATTCTACTTGGAAGACACCCACAGTAACTTTCATGCCCTGCTACCCTCTTCTATAGGGTTTGCAACTGTAGGAGAAGATAGAAATCATGGGCTGTATTTGTAGATTTGTTTTTAAAACATAATGGTGTGCATAGATCAGGGTGGAGTGCCTCTTTTAGCCCAAGGGCCAAATTTCACTTTGGAAAAGCTCTCAGGGGCTGCATTCTTGTGTGTGTGGGCGGGGGGCAGGCAAAAGATGAGAGGCACAATTCCCAGTCCAGACAAGTTTCTGATTTGGTCATGGGTAGACCCAGCTTTGGCCCCTGGGCCAGAGGTATCCCACCTCTGTCATAGGCAGACATAAAAAGTTCTGGTTTCTGTGAATTGTTTAATGTTCAGCACTTCATAATTTAACTCTCATCTACAATTTCATTCTCTCTCCTAATGTGATTAAGTGGGATGTCTTTCCATGGTACTACTATTGGTTTGGCCCCTTTGATGGCCATGTGTTCTGTCTATCAGTCTGGAGGAGTGAATATGGTAAGTGATTTTAATATGAGAGCATAACTTGTGCTCAAGACGCATTGACTTTGGTTTGCATAACCTAACCCACTCTGAGTAAATCTAGACCACTTCATTAACAATTTGTTCTTGCTTTTGATATTTGCTTTTGTATTTAGTTGGTCTTGTGCAAGTATGGAAGTGTGCACTAACCATGCAACAGGTACCAACCATGGATATTGACTCAGGGAGGCTGCATATTCTCCTATTTTTTACTTTGTGAGTTATTGAATGCTATCAAAAGGTGAACTGTCGGAGGAAAGCAAAGATGTGAGGGAACCTTACTCATGAAAGGGAGTGACAAGTAGATCTCCCTCTTTGCAGTGTGCTCCTCTGGTTTTTGGTTGTCCTGCATATTTTCTTCCCTGTCCTAAGACTTAAAGTGCTCAGAAAGATAGAACGGTGCAAGCCACACTGCTTACAGGAGCTGTCAACACCCAGGCTTCTTTTAAAAACAGGGGTTTTGATAGGGCTAACTGGGGGAAGGGGGTGTTGACAAGAACATATACACAATCCTTATTTTTAAATCCCATTTTAAAAGGAATTCTGAATTTTGACAGATCTCAAAATGCTTTGCTTCCTTAAATGGAATGTCTTGTACTTCCCACTTTCCTGAGCCCCAGGAGTCTAAAGAAAGTGTGAAAAACAACTATGGATATAGGCTAAAAAATTGGGCATATGGTCTGCAAATTCACTCTTACATTTTTAGTAGAATATGGTGCCTAAAAATAGCATAGCACATGTCTGTGATTATTTTCTAAAATAATCATAATGAAAAAATGTTGATGAGGAAGAAAATGCAGTAGTGACCAAATCTGCATTTGCCAAATGAAGGTGAAGTGGCTGTTCCAGGTTGCAACTAAGTCTGCAAAAGCAATGTCAGAATGGATCAGGATCCATTGTCCGCCAGCTTCAACCAGTCACCTGCTGCAGCCAACAATTAGTATAGTTGTTAGAACATTTAGAACATGGGTCCTCAAACTACGGCCTGTGGGGCAGATACAGCCCGCCATACCCATTTATTCGGCCCAGCTCAGAGGTTTTGGACTCACTGCACCCATGCTCACACGGACTCGCTTGGAAAAAACGATCTCCGTGCAAGCATGCCAGCATCTCACTGTGTGCACATGCCGCTGCCTCACCGTGTGCCCCCTTACCCTCTCACCTGCGCCCCCTGCCAGCACTGCCTTGCCAGCCCACGCCCACTGCCAGCACCTTTCAACTGGCCCCCTGTTGAAAAAGTTTGAGGACCCCGATGTAGAAGGTCACTTGCAACTAATTTTGGAGTCACATTTAGATGGAAGGAGACCGTATCCCAAACTCCTGTGAGCTTCATGGATTAGGATTCTTAGGCCCATAGACTAGAGCTGCTATCTTATGTAACAGATTAAGCCTCATTGAACATAGTGGAAATTACTTCTGAGTAAACATGCGTAAGAATGGACTACAAGCTTAGAACATTTAATCTGATAATAGCTTTCTTTCTGCATACATTATACAATTGGAGAGAAGGGCAAAAGTCCATGGAAGGTTCCAGTGTTTGCAGAAATCATACCTACATCTAACCTTCTGGTTACCTGAAGGATTGTCTTCTTTCCTATGTACATGCCTGAACCCTAAGATCAGAGGCCTGCTTTCTGGTAGCTCCACTGAATGAGGTGAGGCAGGTAGCAACTAAAGAGAGCGCCTTTTCAGTGGTGGCATCTCAGTTGTGTAATGACCTCCTCAGAGAGGCTCACCTTGTGCTTGCATTGTGATCTGTTCAGTGCCAGATGAAGAGCATTTATTTTTCTAGGTTTTTTAGTCCTGCAGTTTTAAAAATTATACTACTGAATGTTTAGATCTTTGCACTGCTGCTGGTTTTTAATCTTGGTTACTACTTTTGTTTCATTCTGTTTTAAATGCATGACTTTTATGTTATATTTTTATGTTATGTTATTATAATAATAATAATATAATATATGCTTATACTGTTACATTACTGTAATCCTATATTTTATGCTTTTAAGCTTTGTCTTATAAAGCATCCAGAGGTTTGGCCCGTGGGTAGTATATTAATGTAATTAGTTAATGAATACTGGATCATCATGCTGCCCCTTCCGATTGATGAGCCCATCTGTCTCCTGAGCGGGACACACAGAAATACACATTTCCATTCACACTTTGCTGCATGTTGTCCTGACTCTCCCCCTTGATTCTGTGTCTGGACAGGATCACTCTGAGAATGCCATCGGAGTTGCTGCCACGATGGCCCATGAGATGGGACATAATTTTGGCATGAGCCACGACGCAGCCGGCTGCTGCACTGCCAGTCCGAACGATGGAGGGTGCATCATGGCAGCGGCAACAGGGTGAGTCCTTGAAAGCCCTCTATGGTCATGTTGCTTCATTTACAGATGTCTTGCAGAAAGGCGTGATCTGAATGACAGCTTCATGTGTGAGCAATGTGGATGCACCCACCAACGGGTACTCTCAAAGATCCGAAGAGTCACACAGTCCCATGCTTAAAACTCATAAGAAAAAGGAAACCAACCCAATTAGATATTCAACCCAGGAAGAAGTATAGTCTTAACCAAAACAACAACAACAACATATCCAAGGGATCCTCTTTTATTCAACACACAAATAATATTTTCATAGAAAAAAAAGGAACTATTGGTTTTTGGCAATTGTTGGTGGTAGGGTATTTCCACCATCGCATCTGGTCTATGTGGTTGTTCAATAATTCCATTCCATCCATTTCTGCATTCATCTAGATTGCTATAAAAACCCATGTGAAAATTCATGTTTAAATATCTTATATATTTATAAATCACATGCTTTTAGAGTACTTTTAATGTCTAAATTTTTTAGTATTTTTTATTTATTTTATATTATTAATGTTAATTTTATATTGTTATTTTTATATTGTATTGTATTTTATTGTGTTGTAAGCTGCCCCGAGGCTTCGGCAAGGGGCGGCATAGAAATGTTCTAATAATAATAATGATGATGATGATGATGTATTTTTGAGTATTTTTCTCACATACTATGCATTTCTACATACATTTTCTCTCAAAGTATGTCTTTCTTTTCTTTGTTTTATCATACAGAATACAAGTTAGCAGGGTGGCTCCAAATACATTATTCTATCACGGTACTGCTTGCAAAATAGGACTTTCATGTTCTCTCTTTCCCGCTGTCATCCATTGTGTGTCCCCCCCAAATCTGCTTTGGAGGTTCCCCAATCTAGATCCAGCCTTGCATTCATTTTTTGAGCTGAGAATTGCATCACGCTTTTTGGAGACTGCAAAATCTGAAGGATACCTGCTTTTTCACCCACATGTTAGCCTGGGAGGCTAACCAATCAGATTGGTTTGTTTCAAAATGCAGACTGAAGGGGATCCTGGCCCTGCAGATCATGGATGGGCCTGGCCAGGCATCAGCTGAGGTTCCACGCCTCAGCATGGCCCACTGATAGGAGTCCCTTGCAATTGCTTCTTCCCCTCACCATTGCAACCTGCTTGCTCAGCATTTCAGGGTATCTTGGCCAAAGGCCATGAGAAACCTGGAACTGGAACTAGGCATCCTTCATCACTGATCTAGTCGAATGACGTGTGCGTTTGCCCTGCTTGTTTACAGGGACCCATTTCCCAGGGTTTTCAACAAGTGCAATCGGAAGGAGCTGGACCGCTACTTGCAATCTGGTGGAGGGATGTGCCTTTATAATATGCCAGATACCAAGACCTTATATGGAGGACAGAGATGCGGAAATGGTTATCTCGAAGAAGGAGAAGAGTGTGACTGTGGGGAAGTAGAGGTAACTTGACTTTGCTCCATAAACATTGTGGTCAAGGAATTGCTCATAAGACCTATTGATATACTTACTACAAGTTTTGCTGTAATTAAAATTAAAATGTAGATTGCAGAAGAAGAAAATGAAATTCTGTCTGCTTCAGGAGCTCTGGATTATGTCTTTGGCCTCTGCTTTAAGTTACTTTTTCTTCAGTGTTTTGCTTGCCATTTCTTTAATTTTTTAAATAGAAAGCTAAGACTTTCTTAGGGCACAGTCCATGGATGGCTGAAAGGATACTCAGTGCTGTGGATCTCTTTCTATCTAAATGTGTATAGGATTGTGCCCTTAATCAAAATTCATCCTCCCTGAGGATGTTGAGATTAAGCCATGCCACTTTACACAAGGGACTGGATTTGTCCATATTTTAAGTTTTCTTGTCCTATGGCTAACTGAATGAACGATATGTTATATGAGAACAAAAGAAACCAGAATGTGGGAAGCCCTCTTATACCAGATCAGAACATTTATCCACCCAGTCCAGTATTCTCTGTGCCCACCTTCCCCAGCCTGATTTCCTCCAGAGGTGTTAGATGATGACTTCTTGCTGGTTGGGAATTAAGGGAATAGTTTTCCAACACATCTGGAGGAAGACTGGTTTGTGCTGTGGGTTTGAGTGGAAGTCCTTATCCTCTGCTGCCAGATCCGTTCAACTGGAAGTGCTGGAGGCTAAACCTGGAACCTTCTGTGTGCACAGCAGGTGCTCCCTTTCAGAACTACAGGGCACCTCACCTCATAACTCTCCACCATTGAAAATGGATCTGGGTTGATCATTTCTTCTGACCAGCAGAACCCTTCCAGAACTAACACTTCAGAAGTCTCCCATATGAGGTTAAGACAGAGTGTTTTAATGTTCAATTTACTTCAGGATATCATAGGTTCTTATCTAAGAGAGAAGAGCATGAGTGGGCTCTCTGGTACTTGCCTTCTCCCTTTCCACCAAATCTGATTTCTTGGTGTTATTTTGGTCCCACTAGAACAGGGGTACAGAACCCTAGGCCCATGGACCAAACCAACCCTTCAATCCTCTGCGGGTCCCCATAAGGCCAGGACTCCTTCCCTTGACCTTACCCCTCTTCTCTCAGCCACCCATCATTTGATGCTATCCTGTCTTTTGTGCCCCTCCCCATTCTAAAAGGTTGAAATTATTTCCTAAGGCTTAGTCACTGCTTGATGCTCCATCAGGCTGGCATCATTGGTATTTTGGCCTGCCTGTTTTGCCTTCAGCCTTGTCTACCCCTGGACTGGCTTCCAAGAGCATTTCCAAAATGGAATTTGGGCCCTCTGCCGGGAGAGGTTCCACACCCCTGCACTAGGGTGGATTTTGGATGCACGGTCCTCGTACACACCAACTGTAGCACAGTAGCCACAGGACACTGCGACTCAAGGGGAAAAACAGAGTACCTAAATTGCCCCAAGGCGACCTGGTCCGTGCAGTTCTCCCAACATAGAGCTACAGATCCTGCTGTATGAGGGGCCCAGCTCTGAAATGACTGCGTTGGTCCTGATTTACCTGAGAAGTGCTGCGGCTGGATCGCAGTGGTAACAAGCAGGAACACTGCCGTGGCAGCACTGCAACGAGAGGAGAGTGTGCCTGGGGTGTGCTCCAAACTCTTCGTTACTCTTGAGTTGTGCAGCCGCAGTCTTATAGCCCACCCTCAACGGCAGCCAGGTGCTTTCTGGGGGTTTTTGCCTTCAAACATCGGCCCTGTAAACACAGCATGTGTCTGGTCTCTCCCGTCTCTCCCTCAGGAATGTAATAATCCCTGCTGCAATGCTGCTAATTGCTCTCTGAAGCCTGGCGCCGAATGCGCTCATGGGACGTGCTGCCACCGATGCAAGGTAGCGTGAACTGGTTTCTCTCTCGCTAATGCAAGGAAGAAAGGGGCAGTGGAAGAGAAGCAGAGGTGCGGGCATTCCACCCCGCTCAACCCAGAGCCCGTTTGGGTGTGAGATTCTGTGGGTCCGGGAGTGGATCTGCGGGTATGTTTGGAAATGGAAGCATAGAAGTAGTCAAGCTTAAATGAAGGAACGCGTGTGCAGATCTGTCCACTGTAAACCAGAGCATATGCATCAAAACGCCCGGGCTGCCTTGCAGGATTATGCAGGGTGCAGCAGGAGCGCCCAGAAAAAGAGTGAGCCTCTCTTGCACATCTGCCTTTCCTCCAGGGCAGCCTGGCTTGCTACAGATGCAGGCACCATTCACAGGTGTGAAAGAAGGGAAATGTACTTAAAGAGGATCTCGATTACTTGAATATTGTAGTATTATGGTAGGATAGCATGGAATCATGTTAAGGCCTGAAATGCATGTTAGGCCTCAAAGAAATGGGGGCTCTGTTGAGATGGAGCTGCTGGAAGTGATGATGGTTGTAGAATCACTTGGAAGGAGAAGTAAGTAAATTGCAAAATTATCAGGCAATTCCACAAGATAGAAACTTAGTTATCAATCTGAAACAGCCCCTTCCCTGTGCTGTGACTTACTTCTGCTTTTGTATTTTTCAGTTCTGTGTGTGTCCATGTACTCACCCAGCCTGTTTATGCTTGAAAGACTGTCCCTAACCACACGTTTTGAGACCTTCAGGTGTTGTTGTATCTGCTTAGGCAGGACTAGGGACCTTCGGCCATGATGCACGCACACCAGCTGCTTGGGCTCAGACTGGTGCCACCCTCTGATCATGGGAGTCAGCAAATGCAAGCAGAAAGTGTGTCGTTCAAAGCCTCACTGGGATTAGAGCTCAGCCTCCCTGCTTGACTGCGTTACCAGTTTATTAGCATCTCCTTTCCTGTGCTGCGCCTCAGTGCTTGGAAGAACAAAACATGAGCCAGGGAGCTCAGAGCATTTCTCCAGGGGGCTTAAGCTGTCTTGCCTCTTGGCTCCTAGTCTTCTGTTCTGCTCTATATTGCACACTTGAATTGCTTTCCCAATCAACCAGCTGATCAAACCTCACGGGCTGGGGGGTTATATATACGGGTGAGGGATGTCTAAGGCTCACTTTACATCTCAGCTTTCCCAGGAAAATGTGGTTAAAATAGTCTTGGTATGCTAACTTCTCCATGCTCCTCCCTGGAGCTCAGCTGTCATGAGGACAGGATGCTCAGTGGCCACTTAAAAATGCTGTGCATGTGGGCTCAACTACGCTTTACACAAGGGAGTCGGCATTTTACACACTACGCCAGCCTGTTCTTGACATGCCACATCTTAATCCACATGGCGGCGGCGGCATGCAGCTGTCTGGATATAGGCTCGATGCCAACATACACAGCAGTGTCAAGCATGGCTGGTAAGAATCCTCAGCACCGCGAGAATCAGTCGTGTTCTTGACATTTGCCTATCTGCAGACTTTGTGAAGATCTTGTGGACCCACCACCTTTTCCTTCTGCTGTGCTGAACTTGGCCAGGGCTCTGGGTCAACATCAGCTGCACATATCCGCTTGAACAAGTGGGGATGGCCTGGTGCTGGCCAGCAGCTCAGTGGAAGGAAAGGATGTTGGCTGCGATTCTGGAGCCAGGGACTTTGAACGTGCTGCTGAGGGTTTAACTAATGCCAGCAGTACATAGCACCCTTTGTACAGATATAGAAAAGAGCTGCGCCTTGCCCTGCCCATTTAATGCACCAGCTTGTTTGGGAAGCTCTCCAATATCTTGGGTCAAGGCCTTGACTAATCCTACTGCCTGCATGAGATCTTTCAGAAATCTCTTTCAGAGATGTCAAGGATGGCACTTGAGACCTCACTCCAGTACAAACCATGTGCTCATCATTGAGTTATGGGGGTCCCCATAGAAGATATCAGGTCATGGACAATGAGTAGTGAAGGCAGAGGATGAGATGCTCAGGCAGTGCTGGCAGAGCACCTGGAGTAGTTTAGAAAATGCTTCAGGAGAAGCTTTGCTGTAGCAATGCTGTGAGAAACAACTTAAAAGGGGAAGAACTTGACAAACAGAGATGGGAGAGGGACTATTTCAGGTAGAGCTGGGACCAAAGTGTGACACATGTTTGGCAATGGTGCAAAATTCTTTCCATTTTGATGCTGCTTTGGGGATTATGTTGAATGAAGGTAAAGGTTTGCCCATGTAGATTGCAGGGAACTGATGATCCAATTGATTGGAATCAGTTATGACCAGTCCAGGAAGCATTGCTGTTGGCTTTCTGGGCCTCTGTTCTGGTGTCACTTAGTCAAATTGGATTGGCTTGGTGCCACCAAAATGTCACCCTGTTCATTGCACAATCCTTTACTTGCTGGGATAGTTGAGGAAAAAGAAAGAAGCACAAGCCTGGAAAAACAGGGCTCAAGCCAGAACACGAACCTGCTGGTTGCCAGATGTGCACACTTGAGTCCCACTCTGAAAAGGCTGTTTGCATTTATTGGTTTCTTGCACATTAATTACAAACAGTGCTCAGCTAAGTTCTGCCCAGAAGTAATACTTCATCGATTTGTCTGCTCGTTATTAATGTATGGCTTATTATTCTTCAGCTGGTTTCACCAGGAACTCTTTGCCGGGAACAAGCTAGACCGTGTGACCTGCCAGAATATTGCACAGGCAAATCACCGTTCTGCCCAGCAAACTTCTACCAACTGGATGGCACTCCGTGTGAAGATGGGAGAGCCTACTGTTACAGTGGAATGTGCCTCACGTACGAACAGCAGTGCTTGCAGCTGTGGGGCCGTGGTAAGGAGAACCATTTTCTGAGCAGGGAATGTGACCAGACAAGGGCCCCTGGCATCATGGGGCCCAAGGGAGTGGAGGAGCAGTTTGTTTGTGTCCTGAGCTTGTGGGGACTGGTGATGGTGAAGGGGAAGGGATGGGACATGGACGTGACTCTCCATCCACTGAGGCTGCTATGATCAGATGCAACAGAGGACAGGACTTGTGTGTTGAACTAGTTGAGTAGAAGAAGGACTTTTGAATGGAGAAGCTGGAAATATCACTACGCTGCAGAACAGAGAAAAATGACATCTGCTGAAATGGCATCTAATTTTCTCAGGCTGGCTGGCTTCACACAATACAGCAAACCATGGTGGTTTTCACCATCATTAACCTGACATGTTGTCCAAACTCAGCTGTGGTATTTCACCATGGTAAGTTTGATCATTAGAAGCCATGTTAAGAAATGATGGTTTGTTCTATGGTTTCCCTGTACCACCATAGTTGGTTGTGTTGTCTGAATCCAGGATTGCGATTTCTGTAGTCATGGTATGCAATTACCACAGTTCCCTGGAAAAAGCAGCAGTTGCAGATGCTGCACCAGCCATCCAACCCCTATTTGTAGACCAATGAGGAAGAGGCAGGTGACATAGGCAGGGAGCAGTACAGCTTGGGATTTAATTTCAGGCATGTGTTGTGAGCTAGGTGTTCCCTCCCCAGCAAGACAGACTCTCCAGCACTTCTTGTAAGTGTCTTCATTCTACGTAGAAGTCTCTAAGCATACACAAGTCTCTGAGCGTACCCAAAGTGAGATGTTGAACCCTCTGTGCCCCCATTTACCCAAAGCTTTGCTTATGAACACAAAGGAGAGGCACTGAGGACCCGGGCGTGCCTGCGTTCTGCACACTGAGCCCCTAATTGGGCCAGCCTGCAGCTGTGACAACAGGCCCACGGGTCCACCTCCTCAGGAGGCTGGCATTCTCCATCTGAGAGACTACCTAGTTCCAAATCTTCTCCCTCCGGTTGTGTTTGCCCTTCTTCTCCCTCATTCCCACAGGCAGGGGAACTGGTCCCCATGGCTGTCCTTGAACTACTTTCATCCAGAGCAGGCTCAGACTGTTACTGTGGGATTGGGACTGCAGGTGCAGGCCTGGCCGTTACAACAACAGTTCCGTTATCAGAGTGTGAGCTCTGAGCCCCATCTGGGCCAGCCAACTCCTCATCATCCTCAGACTCTGAACTATCACTCCCACCAAAACAGTCAGCTTCTTGTGCATGCCTGGGAATTGTACAACAGCATGGTTGTTGTTAGGATGCATGGAAACAGTGAAGGACTGCGTAAGGAGGATAGAAACCACAATAATGTAGAGACTACTTGATCTGTTGGTGGAGCATGGTAAAAAAGTGAACCTGGGTAACCACTTGGGGTTGCTTGTTACTTTGTTTGAACCCAGTCCCTGTGGGTTAAAAGCCCTGCTTTTTACTGCTCTTGTTCCCCTTACTGAGTCCATGGCTCTCATTTTGGTAGATTGCCAACCAAATGGAAACTCAATGAGAAAAATCATTATGGTCATTCCACTAGTTTGGTTCCTTGATGAATGTCTATTTGTCTAAAATTGAATCCCCAGCCAGGCCTCGAAACATTATGAAATTGCATTAAAACACTGTTTTAACAGACAATATACTCCAGGTCCCAGGCAGTTGTCTCCTTTCATTTGCAAATAAGTGAGGAATCACTCTTGAGTTTTATCTTCACTGCCATGAAGTCTAGAAAAACTTTTTAAAAACTAGCACAGCATTCTTGCAAGTTAATCACAAATTTCTATGCCAAGACAAGTTGCCTGGTCAACAGTACCTGGCCCACATGACAGATCCTTTGCCGTTCTGGGTGCATCAGGGCCTTGCCTGTCGTACTAGGCTTTGCCGCAGCAAGAGTGCCATTCAGTGCTGGCCCACCATTGGGCAGAGGGCAGCTGTGGCCTCAGGCAGCTGATTGATCCTCTGTGCCCTTGGCCAATCTTCTCTGTCAGGAGGACAGCGCTGTGTATGTCATATGGCCTGACCTGGGCCCCATAGAGTAGACTCGTGCCTCCAGCATGCTGGTGGATGCTGTCCCATTTTGAGCATTGAACTGAAATTCGGTTAACATTGATTCCTTGTGACAGGCTGGTGAAGCTCTGCATGCGGAACGGATGGTGGTGGGCAGGGTCCATCTTGCCCAGGCACAAGAATGCTTTGGGCTGGCCCTCAGGAAGTTGATGGTGTCAGTGCGAGGTGTGATGGGTGTGTGTGTGCGTGCGGGGAGGGGAGAGGAGGGGAGGGGAGGGGATAGATTTGGGCAAGCTTCCCTTTTCCACGTGTACCAAGCACACAACTCTCTTCCATACAGGAGCAAGGCCAGCACCTGACCTCTGCTTTGAGAAGGTTAATGCTGCTGGAGATCCCTATGGGAATTGTGGGAAGGACATCAATGGCCAATACAGGAAGTGCAACACCAGGTAGGAAGGAAGCCAACTGCATTGTATGGAAAGGGGAAACTGCTTTGCTCTCACAAGTGAAAGGCTGGAAATGTGCTTGGTCCAACACTGTACCCAGTTACTCATTTGAACCTTGTTTGTGCCTGACCTTGGTTCCTTGGCAATGCTGTGGGGCTTTATAAAGTGCTGGGCTGGGACTTGGGGGATCTGATTCTAGTATGCACTTGGACATGAAGCTCACTGGGACCTTTGGGCCAGTCACTCACTCTCAGCCCAGCCGACCCCACAGGGCTGGTGTGAGGTTAAAATGGGGAGAATTGTACAAGCCACCTTTGGTTCCTTGAAAGGGAAGAGAAGGCAGGATACTATGCAATAAAAACATAAAACATTAAATGTTCAGGGACCTGGGCTAGGAAGGAGAAATCTGTCCTTCCTCCTGGTTTGTTGCTTTCCAGAATATCCCTTAGCAGATCTTGGTGGGTTTGCAGTTCATACCTGAGAAGCAGAGCAGATTAAGTGCTCTTCCTGCTGTGTGAAAGGGCAAGTGGGAGTTCCCGTTTATGAGCGGTTTTGTTCCCTGGAATGGAGCCCCTTCCCAGACAGCCCCTGATGATGGATTGCAACAGAAGTGTTAGTGAGGAGGACCCAGCAGGCCTGTGTATTTACTCATGAAAAATTCTGCAAAATGCACTTTCCCTCAAGGAAGACTGAAAGCGTAATGCTGATCAGTGACTCATTCTAGAGTGGTCCCAAGACAGAGCTGGAGGAAAACTGATGGAATCCAACTCCTTAGTTGCAGCTGATGCTCAGAAGACTAGATATGATCTAAGTGCATTTTAAAATCCTGTGCTTGCAATTGGCTTCATCTTTTCCTTAAAACAAAACAAAACTGCAAGGAACGTCTTTCAGCCAAATCAGGAATGCAGCAGAGGGAAGAGCATTAGCCCTTTCTTCCTTCACAAATCTCCCCTTGAAGTTTTATGATGTATCTTTAAAAACGATTGGAGCAAATAGCATTTTTGGCACACAATATTCCGTAGGCAAACAGCACAAGAGGAAAGGGTCAAATCCACTCAGAGGAGGACAAACACACAGGTCCTTTTTGAAAAGCAAACATGTGGCCAATTTCAAGCATGGAGTAAAAAAAGCACCCTTCAAGTCGCATTCAGTCTGACCCCGCCACAGAGCTCACCTGCAACTGCCTCTTCTCTGAGATGCAAAGAGCCTGTATCAGCGAGGACATCAAAATCAGCACCTAGAATTATTGCCAGAAAGTCCTGGCTGGAGCACACAGAGCAGGAATGGGGGATGGCTGTTGTTAGACTGCAGCACCCAGCATCCTTCACCCTCAGCTATGCTGGCTAGGGTTGATGGGAGCTGTAGTCCAGCCCCGCTTGAAGGGCTGCATGCTCCCCATGTGCTGTTGGAAAACTGCCCCGTCACCACGCCCTGCATGCATCATCTCTTCTGTGCAGCCGTAGCCCCATCATGAAGGAAGCAAGCATGGATTCTGGCTCCCAGCGCCTGATCACATCAACAGTTCCGAGTCGCAGCCCCTCGGAGTTCTCATGCTGTAGGACAGCTCTTGCAACGTGAGAAAGCCGCAAGCTTAACCCGCATGTTTAGACTCACATCCACTCCCCCTTCTCTTTGCAGAGATGCCAAGTGTGGCAAGATCCAGTGCCAAAGCACTGCTTCCAAGCCTTTGGAGTCCAATGCCGTGCCCATTGACACAACGATCACAATAAGCGGAAGGCAGATCCACTGTCGTGGCACTCACGTGTACCGGAACGAAGACGAGGGGGATATGCTAGACCCCGGCCTTGTGATGGCAGGAACCAAGTGTGGCGAGAGTCATGTAAGCACAGCTCTTGCCTCTTTCCCCCATTTATGCTTTCAAGAGATCTCTCTGTGCCTTTTTCAAAGTGGGCAAGTGCCACACAGTTTTGGGAGGTTCTATATGGCTTTGAGCATCAAAAAAGCCAATGGAACTTGCGTTACAATGACAAGAGGGTTGTGTGTTAGAAAGGTGCTTTTTACCTGAGAGGAAGCCCAGCCCCTGTCCCTGTGCTGCTCTTTGGCAGAGGGAGAATTCCCAGTACTGCAGAGTCTGAGGTTGGCTTTGGAATTCTCTCTCCCATTCCCATATCAGAGGTTGGATGCGTTGCTGCTGAACAGTGAAGGAGGGCACATTCTTGTTCAGCACAATGCCAGCAAAACAGGAAAGCCTCTCCACAGAAGCACCTGTCACTCCCTGCCACCACTGATGGATTTCTCTAGTCATAATTATGCTGACCTGGGCACCTGCCCAGAGCATCAGGATTGCCCATGGTGGCTGGGATTTGCCACAGATGTTGAGTCTTTGCAGGCAGTGCTGATGCCGGGACACACAGCTCTGAGCAGCTCCCAGCCTGGGCATTTACTGGGCAATGAGTACTTCACAATATTTCCTTTCCCATTCATGTGTGCTCTCCTGAATACTTCTCCTGCCTCCTGCAGGTTTGCTTTGAGGGGCACTGTCGGAACACCTCCTTTCTGAATAATGGAGACTGCGGAAAGAAGTGCCACAGCCAAGGCGTGGGTATCTTATCAGACACTGTGGTGTGCGTGTGTCTGCATGAGAGCTGTATGTATGTTCACACACACACACACACACACACACACACACACAGAGAGAGAGAGAGAGAGAGAGAGAGAGAGAGAGAGAGAGAGAGAGAGAGAGAGAATGCATAGATAAACTGGACAAGTAAATCCAGAAAGGAAGATTATGTGTTGTCAAAGAAATGCTCAGAGTTAGAATTGCTTCCAGTTCAATTGCATCTACACAGGAAGAGGGTTTCCAACATCAATTAAAAATCAGTTCTGGTTTAATATGGTTTGTTCAAGGATTAATGTAAACCCTTCATTGCCCAAAATATATAAATGTTTATATTGGCAACATGAAGATTTGATATAGATAATAGGTGCAAGATGGAAAGGTATTTTCTTGAATAATGTGTGAAGATCCTCTTAAAGTTAACACAGATGTCTGCCAGAGCAATCTTAACATCCATACTGAGCTTGCTGGAAGGGGTTAGGATTAACCATCCGCTGGTAGAAAAGACCTCCTAACTCCACTGCTGACATAACTGTACAACCAGTGATGGGTGATAGCCAATGAGAACCTCCAGAGAAGAGCATTCTGAGGGTGTGGTGGAGGTGGCTTTAGATCCACCAAGTTTGAAAAGTTCTCTCTTTTCTTGAACTACCTCGGGATTTGGTTCTTCACCTACACTAGCTTGGAGCTGATACAGGAATTTTCCATCCCCGCATCATAAGCAACTGGATAGATTTTTAAAAACAGTAACATACCACTAAGGTTCTTTTTCATATTTCCTGCACACACACACCTCTTCTGCAGCACCAATTCCACTTTGGATTGCATGGTTTTATGCCATAAATGTTTTGATGCATGTACTTTCCATGCTTCATGATGAAAGAGGGAAGATGGGAGGATTAAAGACAGGGGAAACAACACCAAATGTACAGTTAATTTAGGTTTTGTTGCTCTAACCCTTCTGGGCTGGATTTTAGACTAAAATTGAAAAGCTATCAGATCTTCCACTGGACTTTGTTAACAAATCTGTTAAAGGCATTTGGACTCTGAGGTTCTTGTCACATTGATGTCCTCCAAGTGTTACTTGGAGTTCACCTCCCAGTCAAAAATAAATGTTGAATTTGGGGATGTGTTAGGCATAGAAGGGAAGACCTGAGTGTTGTACAGATCTTGAAAACCAAATGTTGGATGATCTGGCTTTTCTTCAGCTGTGGTAGCTGCCTCTGGGAAGAAGATACCCCCATCTGTTGTGGCTAGACAATGTTTCAGAGAATCTCTGCTGGGAGGTTAAAAATAGTAGGGAGTTATCTTGGTCCCACTTGAGGAATTTACATACACTTCAGGGGTGGAAGGGTAGAAATGTATCCCTTGGAACTCTGATGATAGAAATGGCAAGAATGTTCAAACACTGCATTTCTTGGAGAGACTGTTGGTATGAGCACTAATAATCAGGGGAACTTACTTCATATAGATGGAGGTTTTTTTAGGAAGGTTGCACTCCAACAGATGCTGTAGAAGATGCAAATGCTTCTTATTGATCAAAACCTCTGTGTTGTAGATGATCATGGTGCTTTTGGTAACCAGGAAACACTGATGTTAAATTCCTTGATTATTGTCTCTACAGGTTTGCAACAACAACCAGAACTGCCACTGTTTCAGTGGATGGGCACCTCCATTTTGCAATAAACCTGGCAATGGAGGAAGCCTGGACAGTGGCCCCATGCCTCCAGAAAGTGAGTTTGACATACTATTTGTGGAAATTAAGGAAACTTTAATTGCGGGAGGTCATCATGGCAGGGGAATAGGGGGACCAGGTGCAATAGCATTTTCCCTCGACTACACAGAGTTGTGACATGATTTATATATTGGAATTTCCTTTTCCCCTCAGCTATTAAAAATGCAGGAGCCCTGTCCCCTGGTTGTTTGCATCTGGTCTCCATAGATGGGGAAGAATTATGGGAAAGAAGAGCGCTGATAATATTGTTGCATTGTTTTTTCCTTGCCAGGTTCTGTTCCAATCATAGTAGGAGTCTCGGTTTCCATCCTGCTTTTGACTGCAGTTGCAACTGCTATTTGCTGCTATAAATGGAGATCTAGGCTTGTGCCCCTAAAGCAGAAGATCATTATGCCAAAGAAGACCCAGAAGTTCAGGTGGATATTTATAGTGCGATGTTAATGACTTTCCATTCCTGAAGCTAAACAGGGCTTGGACTAGCAACTTTCTAGACATGGCTCTCATTCCCTGCTCACCTTTGCTTACTTAACATGTGCTTTATGCAACATTGTAGTTCTCCAGTTTTGCCTCTGTTTTTTAAAAGCAGTTTCCTACGAGAGGGGTTCTGGAGGAGGGAAATCTGGTACCTTTTGTTATCGCAAAACAAATTGCAAGGCCTCACCAGACTGCTTGTGTTATCCTGCTACATCACAGTGCCACCTAGTGGTTATGCAGCAGAAAATGGGGAAGGAAAACAAGAGCACTAACTGAGCTTAATTATTATTATTCAACAACATTGGAAATAGAAACAGCAAGTTCATCTTTTTAAAATCTCAGGATGCTAAGGTACCTGTGATCCCCATGCAGGCCACTCAAGTTTCTCCAAGGAAAGGCAGCATACATATACAGACAAATAAATTTCTGTAACTAGATGGATTTAGTCATTGAAAAAGAAAGAGCACATAACTAATTCCTTTACCTTGTGTAAAAATTCCAGTTACTCTCTTAGACTTATCAGGACTGCTGAGCCCAAAAGCGAGCCTGGATAAAAGTCCAGATAAGCCCATGACTATGCAGCATAATTGGCTAGTATCTTGGCCTCTTATACGTATCTTATTCACAAGTGTGATATATCTGCTTCTTATTCTAGTCTAGACTACTTGAGTTTATTTGAATAGATCTATTTCTCTCTCTCTCTCTTTCTATATCACCTCATAGGCAAAGCTTTCTGGACTATTGTTTTGTATTACCAACCCTTTACAAAAACAATAGAATACAAAATACCAGTACAATAAAAGCAGCATAAATTCAGTACGTTCAGAAAAGAAATCAAAACCCTTTGAACAATTAAAACATGTCCAGTAAACTAGCCCTGATAAGAGGAACAAAAATGCTTGCATAAGTCCCCTGTTTGCCCTTAAAAGCTATTTTGTGGTTAAAAGTATAGATGTAAAGGAGAGTCTTAATGTGGCGTGAAAAGGATAACAGGGTTGGTGCTGGGGGGAGGGGGGATCCAGTGGGGAGAGTGTTCTATAATCAGGAGGCCACTACCGAGAAGTCCCTCTTCCTTGTTGCAACCAGCTCAGCCTCCCTCAGAGGAAAGCCTCCCAGTGGTGGTATCCAGGTAGGTTTTGGATGGGGAGGCACCCTGACTGCAGCCCCATACCATGTATAAGACTTTATATATTGAAGCCAGCACTGTGAATCACATTCAGGCATGTACAGGCTGCTGCCGCAAGCCGGCCAGAACCAGCCTTTTATGTCCAGACCTTCTAGTCCCAGTGATTAATCTGGCAGATGCATTTTGCTCCAGCTCCAGCTTCTGAGCTTCCTCCGAGAGCAGCCCCTGTAAAGTGCCTTGTAAAACAGCTGCAGTCCCAGATGTGACTTCTAATTCTTGTTTCCTTTTGTGGTTCTGATACAGCTCCCCTCCTCCCATTCTGAATCCTGCAACCGGCCACTCCAACCCAGCCTTCAAGCTGAAAACCCCCCAGGAGCAGAGAAAGGTACCTGAAACAGATGCACCTTCACTGTGAAGTTACTCCTCTGGCTACATTTTAAGTGCAAGATGAATGACGTTGTTTGGTGGACCATTTGGGATGCCCCAAAGTACCATATCCTTGCTGTAAATGTTTGCTCAAGAAGCTTCCATTCAGCATAATTTTACGGAACTCAAATATTTACTACAGTTATTTTAAACAATGGCTTCCATTTTAGATGTAAGCCACCCCAGGGCTTTGTGGAGCCAAGGAGTGTGGCAGAAATAGCCCAAATAAATAAAGACAAAAAGTGCACAGAAGTGGAGAAGGTGTTCGGTAATAAAAAGTGCAACTGCTGTATAAATCTATTGTCAGTATCCCTGTCTGGTTGTTAGATGTTTCTAGGGAAGAAACCTGAATAATGCAGATACAGCAGTGGGTTTGGAAACTTCACCTGCTATTTGTGTGATTTTCTTGTAGGTTATTGGTATACCAAGTATCCCTCCAAAGCCAGACGTGTTTTCCCACCAGCCAGCTCCTGAACTCAAAGTCCCTGTACAGCGTCCACCTCCGCTTCCACCTAACTGCACCAGGGTACCTCCTCTTCCAGGGCATCAGATGGAGGGAAGGAATTTTCCAAGACGAACCCCACCAAACAGGCCAGCCCCTCCAGCTCCAAAAGTCCTTGTTCCACAGGTGAGCAAACTAAAGGGATGAAAATGCCCCAGTAATTGGATTTTGTACAATTTCAAGCTACCCTGGGTGTTATCAGAGGGGTAAATCGAGAAATAGGTGCTGTTACAATTTTCACATGGATATACCTGCTTTCACATGGAAATGTGCATTGGGTAGAAGCAGCCCAGCTCTTGCTCACTTCCTCCAGTCATGTATATCAGCAGGGAACTCCCCCCATTCCCCGAAGGGCCATGTTCAAATGTATCCAGACTCCAGGGCAACTTGCACTGGCATCGTCTTCCCTGCAGAGGAAGGCCTTGTGCCAGTTATCCCTAATCGAATGAAACTGGCATCGATCTGGCCTTTATCAGGAGATAATTGTAGCATTTGCAGCGCACTGGGCAGGCTGAAACAGCAAGACCAGCAAGAGACTGACGTCATACTCATGCAGATCCCTTCCCTTCCCAAGCCATCTCCTGCTGTCTATGATATATCTTGATTAGGCTACCCTAAAGTCACAAAAATGTACAAGCTTTGGCACATCCTTGGATTGGCCTAATCAAGGATTGGCATTGCACTAAGATGAATTTTAGAATTTTACTTGTGATTGGAATGGATGCCTTTGCTTCCCATGGGCAGTATTTAATCTGCTCTTTTTTCAGAATCACCCTCCACTCAACAGGAGCTTGAGGTGATTTACAATTAAACCCAAAATAAAGGCAAAGCATACAATCATCTTGGTACTGTCCATGGGATTTTTGTGGCAAAGTGGGTTGCCATTTCCTTCTCCAGTGGATCATGTTTTGTTAGTTTTGTGAGAACTGGACACGGAACCACTGATTGGTTCAAAATTAAGAAAGGAGTTTGGCAAGGCTGTATACTGACGCCCTGCCTATTTAACTTATATGCAGAGCACATCATGAGAAAGGCAGGGCTAGATGAATCACCAATTGGAATTAAGATTGCAAGGAAAAATATCAACAACCTCAGATATGCAGATGATACCACTCTAATGGCAGAAGGTGAAGAGGAACTAAAGAGCCTCTTGATGCGGGTGAAGGAGGAGAGTGCAAAAGTTGGCTTGAAACTCAACATTAAGAAAACTAAGATCATGGCATCCGGTCCTCTCACTTCCTGGCAAATAGATGGGGAAGAAATGGAGTGACAGATTTTATTTTCCTGGGCTCCAAGATGGGGACTGCAGCCAAGAAATTAAAAGACGCTTGCTCCTGGGGAGGAAAGCTATGGCAAATCTAGACAGCATACTAAGAAGCAGAGACATCACCCTGCCAACAAAAGTGCGTATAGTCAAGGCTATGGTTTTCCCAGTTGCAATGTATGGCTGTGAAAGCTGGACCATAAGGAAGGCTGAGTGCCGAAGAATTGAGGCCTTTGAATTGTGGTGCTGGAGGAGACTCCTGTGAGTCCCTTGGACCGCAAGGCGATCAAACCGGTCAGTCCTAGAGGAGATCAACCCTGACTGCTCTTTAGAAGGCCAGATAGTGAAGATGAAACTCAAATACTTTGGCCACCTAATGAGAAGGAAGGACTCCCTGGAGAAGAGCCTAATGCTGGGAACAATAGATGGCAAAAGAAGAAGGGGATGGCAGAGGATGAGTTGGCTAGATGGAGTCACTGAAGCAGTGGGTGTGAGTTTAGGTGGACTCCAGGGGATGGTGGAGGACAGGAAGGTCTGGAGGAATGTTGTCCATGGGGTCGCAATGGGTCGGACACGACTTCGCGACTAACAACAACATGCAATCCTCAATAAAAAGCAACAGTACTATTAGGCCAGAGCTAGACATCGTGCACAAATATGTGTAATGGTACCCCAGTAGTCCACTTTGGGGGAAGCAGTCCAGAGCATAGCAGTGGCAGGAGAGCAGCTCTTAACCCATTTCCTGCTTGCTTTTTCCTTCTCCAAATTTCTGTTTCCAATAGTTAACCCCTCACTTTGGTAGCCGTATAAACACAGAAACTCATTAGCCCTCCCAAACGATGTGCCCCTCTTTCCTCTGGTACCTGATTCCCAGTGAGGAAGGGGTACATTTTGAAGTGCAGGCACTTGTTGTAACAATTCCTATAGCTGTGATCCCAGGGAGCACCCCAAAATTCAGACTGCAGTATCGATCCCTTTCTGCAAATCACTTGAAGCACTTTTCACATCCAGCCTGAGCAGGTGTTGGCTTCAACTGCCATGCAGAATAAGCCACTCTAAAATGCCTTGCCTTGCAGCAGGGATAGCTCACAGCTTTATGTTGTGGCTAAGAAAATTCATTCCCCACCCAGGACTTGTAAATGAATCTCAGAGGAAACACAAAAGACTCAGGGCAGTGCCAGATTACATCAGCAACCCTGTTAAGCAAAAGGTGCTGGTATGGTGCCCCTGTGAGCCCCAGGTCCACTACCTCGCTGCTCATTCCTGCTTCTGCCCTCTTTAAATGGCTATCCAGGCATTTTCATCTAGCTGCGTAGTCTTACAGAATACCCTTCTTCCAAAGCATTTGCTATGGTAGGGAATCCTTCTTAGTACCAATGATTTTCCTCAGGACAGCAGCAAGAAGAAAGGAAAAAGTTAAATTCGTGGGGCACCTGTGCAAATGCACTCTTGCTGCAGGCCCAGCAATGACCAGGTTGCCCATTGCCGCTAGCACTATTTGCATTTTTAAAGCCTGCACATCTGATGCAAGCGCACAGTTAATGTCATGCTTGGTTCGGCCCTCAGCATCATATGGAGGAACAGTATGTGGGCCTGCTAGTCATACCCAACCCTTCCAGGGAGTTTTAGACTACTAAAGTACATGTTTTAGGTACATAGCACAAGTTGCTTAAAGGCAAACAAAGGCACAATCCTTTGTATGGTTAGACAGGAAAAAGGCCCACAGTTCCCACCTATGCTGGCTGTGGCATGCTGGGGCTTGTAGGCCTTGTTCCTGTCTAAATTTGCATAGGATTGCAGCCTTAACTGATGATTCATAATATGTAAGGTGGACTATTCAGCAGTGGAAGCTTCGGATCCTTCACCATTCTCTGTACAGAATTCAGCGTAGTCTGTAAGTAGTTTCATCAGCCTCTGTACAAGATCTGATCATAGTTGGTTATTAAAAAAGCAATCAAAAATTGTGACTCCTAATTTTAGCAAATTAGAAGCATTGAAGTGGAAATTGGAAACAATCAAAGTCTTCCCGTTAAATGCAGCATGTTACAGATAATCACATCTGGAACTCCACATCTGGATCTTAGGCATTGATTCACAATTTAGTGATGCTCAGTTTATGAGTATTAGAATCATTCCATTGAGATTATTATCATTCTTTTTCTTCCTGCATTGTCTTTTCTGAAAAATCCATGGGTATGTAACTATTATGGTGACATATGGAGAGTAAAATGAGACATCTGGACGTCCTGACTTTACCTCCTTTTTCCAGTCCTCAGTACATGTTTCTGTGCCAGGAAGTGATTTCCTGCAGTATGTCACGAGAAGAAGCAAAATCTCATTCTATGCCAGATGGAGACTCAGTTTGGGCCACAGTTTGGCACCATTTGCAAGAGCAGTTGCTCTTCACCCCACTCTTCTCACCACCAGAGAATGATCAGCCTTCCCCAGCTGGATGTCCCTGGGGTCTGCCGAATGACAACCTGACACCGGACCAATCCATAGGCTTGCCCTCAGAATTTGAGAAGAGTCTCTTTCTCTTGCCTAGGATTCTTTCAGGCCACAGCCACCTCAGAAAGCGCTTCCTGCCAATCCTATTCCTGCAAGCCACAGAGCAGGGGCGCCCAGGATAAATGCAGCAGCTGGAGCACCACCGCATGGGCCTCCAAGGAATATAGGACCACACCAGCTTTTTACAGAGGTGAGGCATAGGAGAGGATAGAAAGATCGAAGCAAAGCAATTCACCCAGGTACGCGTATCTACTGGAGGTATATTGGCTGCCCAAGAGTTCTCTGGGAGGCTTGCAAAGATAAACTGATCTTAAGTGCCTTGGATGTGTTTGTGCAGCAACCTGCAAAGAAGTCACAGTGGACACTCAACCCACTGTGTGCCTGGCAGATAACGGGCTGACCTTGGCTTCTTCTGCCCCTCCTTCCCTCTCAGTCTGGCATTTCTAAAAAATAAACAAGGAATGCAGGAATGCAGGCAAATGTGATAGCTGGGAAGCAAGTGGAGGGGAAGTGTATGTATCCCTTTGTAAATGCAGTAGTAAGTGCTCTGAAAAGATTCTCCACCTGGAACTGCAAAGCTCACGAGAAAACTGTTAGGTGAGTCTGCTTGGGGAGGCCTTTTCTTAGCTGTGGGGCTGCCACTGAGAAGGGCCTTTCCCTACTTCCCACCTAGGGACGTGTGAGGAATCTGTTTTGGAGGTGAGCATCTGTTGGGTTGTCTGGGTTCTGTGGCCATGAGCCAAGTCCCTGGTGAGCACACCCCCTGTGCAAGCAGTGCTTGCCAGGGACCAAGCGCCATGCAGCCATTGCCCCTCTTCCATGTCATGTGCTGCAGCCTCTGCTTGTGCTGTAGCACATGATGCAGAAGAAGGTTGCCAGTTGTGCAGGCTTAACTCCCCTCGTGTCCATAGACTGCCCTCCTACTTGGCTTGCTCTCCAAGCAAGAGCCGAGCACAAGGGATGGTCCCTCAGAGCTTCAGCACATCTCCACTCCCACCTCACAGGGTTGTTGTTGTGGGGATAAGATGGAGGAGATGTAAGCTGCCTTGAGCCCTTTGTAGGAAAAAGGCAGGATATAAATTGAAAAATAAACAAACAAATAAATAAAGAGCAGCCCAGACACTGGTGCAGAAGAGCCCAGAACTCTTCAATAAAATAGCTGGAAATTCATCTTGTCCTCACCCTCTAATGTGAGAATAGGGCATAACTCTGCTGTTGAAGGAGAAAGTAAATGGAAAATGTTCATATTTAAGAGCTAGTCTCCCTAGCCATTGATCTACCTAAACTTAAGAAGCCTCTCTTGCTCCTCTTGCCTGTGTTAGCAAGTGCCCATTGCACAGATACTCATCATAATGGTCCTTCTTTCCTAGAATTCGACCATCAAGAATGCTGGACCAGTGAATACCCTGAAGTTTAGACGCTGAGGTTTGCCTTGCAGTCCCAAAAGCCACACCCCACTTCCATCTGACCTGTCTGGGATGTCCCATGGGCGGCTTTGCTTCCAGGAGGAAGATGTGCTGGTCATGTCCAGCTCTCAAATAGTGCGTCTTAAGGCTGAGGCCAGTTTGAGGGCTGGCTTCTGCAAAAGTCTCTTCCACCAACAGCACCGGGAGATGCAACTCTCTTGGAAATGAGCGGATGCCTTTGGGCTTCCTCCTTTTCCATGACCTTGATCTTTTCTTTCTTGTTTAAAATGGCACTCACGAATTATAGTGCAATATGCTGAAATGGTGGGCGGGGGGCTTGATTGCCTCCCAGTAATTCATTGTCTTGACAAAGGCAAATCAATGTTAATTAACCTCTTCATAATTGAGCCAGTGAGTTCTTCTGAGTTTTCTCGGAACACCAAAATACTTTGTTAGAACCATAAGGAATTTTGTGAAGAAGGGAGTCCAGTGATGCCCTCTCTCATGGCCGCAGGGATCTCCTCCGAATTACTTCAGGCTGTATGGAAGATTCTCTCCATCTCACAGAATGTTGCTGTTTGCCACTTTAGGAGGGGAGTTCCTACTTCCCTTCGCTAAGAAGCCTTGCAGGGTTCAGTACTTACACTGTGCAAATTTTGCCTTCTTTCAAAGCCTTCTGTTCTCTCAATGGCAGCTTCACAACACCTTTCTTGTTCTGATAGTGGCTTTCAAGATTTGAAATTGGTGTCAGTGTAAGTGCCAAGAGTCCTCACTCTGCACTCTACTCCCAGAGTGTCTGAAGTCCACTCAATCCTGTTTGCATTTGACATCTTAGCAACGGATAGTACTGAATAGTGGAGCAATTTTGTTTGGGGGTGCATCTTTCCATAGGGCAGTCACTGTAGACAAGGCATTCTGGGGCTCTAGCATCAGCACCCTGTTAGCTCTTTCCTGGCCAGTTCAGTCACCACTGCGTTTGCTTCAGATCGCACCTTGCAGGGGATTGTTGAGGGCTCCACCGTGTCAGAAGTATTAAGATAAGGAGTACCACTCCATGTGGACTTCTTATAGGCCCTCTGATTCTGCTCTGAGCCAAGATCCATGCTGGGAAAAGATCATAAACCATTAAATATGGTGCATGGCAGAAGAGATTTTAAATGTTGGAGTTCGTTACCAGGTCTATGTGCTACACTATTATGCCACATTACACATACTGTCATGCATGCTTTTTTCCTACATGGACTGAATCCAGTCCTTGCAGAAATCCCTGCCTCCACCCTTCCATGGCAGTCCCTCCAGTCCACCTCCCTTAAACTGCCACACCAAAGGTTGGCTGAATGTTTGCTTGAAGGGAAGCACCTTCTGTGAACACCTTTCTCTCCATGAAAGGCAAAGCCTGGAGCCAACCCCTGATCTCACTGTGGGGGAAGCAATCATAAAGCAGCCTCTGTTTTCACAATCTAAGTTACTGAACTACAAGGGGGGATTTGGACTCCAATTAATTTTAGTTTGGTTTGCTGTTGCTTAGAAAATCTAAACGAATCATTCTGCCAATCAACCAAATATTAGCAGGGCACTTTAAGCGTTTCCTATAATTCATTGCTTTAATTATTACTTCTGTCATGCACGGTCTTCTTTATATAATCAGTACACACAGCGTAAGTTTTTGTGTATTTTTCTTTGTTTTAGACTGGGCTTGTTCACTCAGAAAATTTGCTCCATTAATTTATTTCAGGGTAACTCTGTAACCATAATCTTGGTTGCCTAGCAAGGTTTGGTGCACCCTGATTTTGAGTAAAGCCAAATTAATCTTGAGCAATTTGGAAATAACCTTTGATTAAATCTCAGTGCAATTCAAATGCCCTTTGCATCTTTCTGATTTGGGTAGGTTTCAAAAAGATAAAGTATGGCAAATTTATGAATTGTGCAAGCCCTCAGATAAGGTACTACAGGCAAACTCCAGCATACTCAGTTCACCCATAGGTGATCAATTACCCAAATAATGAGGTGTCCTATGGCTCACTCAGCTCAATAGAACATTATAATTTAACTCATGGTGCTTTTAGTATCAGGCAGCTGATTAAACATCCAATTTTTCTTTAACTGGGCACTGCAGTGCAAGCTGCCTATGCACTTTAAACAACTGGGAGTTCCAGTGATGCAGCTGTGGCATTACTTCTGTTCTGAGGATTTACAAATATTATCTCAGATTTTGCAGACTTCGTGGTGTTTCCTTTGCCTGGTGGGTTTTTTCCTGGTTTCTTTTGCTAAAGATGAGGAGGAGCTGGTTTTTTCCCCTGATCTTGAAACAAAACTACCACCAACACCCTTAGAAAGCCTGTCTAGGGTTGCAAATGCTGAGAGAAAAAGCAACTTTTGTTGGCTGCAGTACAAATTGGGTTTGAATTTTTTAAAGACTCACCCAAGCTTTTATTGTAGTCCTTTTTTAAGAGATGGGCCAGAGTTATTGTATGACCAAGTTGCCCAAACTGCAACCTCAACAGCCCAAAGACCAACTGGGAACCCAAAACATTGTTCCAAAGTTGTGCATCAGCCATTCCTGGTTAAATAACTTTATGATTATCGAGTGGTATCTTGACTGTGTATGTAACATTGCTCTAGTGTTACAGAATGAGAGGTTCATCTTGGGCTTACTCAGGCTCTGTGTCTCAATAAGATCTACCAACATGTGCAAGAGGGAGGGGATCACGTACACCAGCCCTGCCTTCAACGTGGACAGTGTCACCACCGTGTTGAGCAAGGAGGTCTGCAAGGGGCCGCTTTTGGTGGTCACTTGAATGCAACTAGAAGCCTCCACATAACCAGGCCTACTTGTTCAAGGTTCCTGCCCTCGGTTGGACACAATAGCATAAACTGCAGGCTAGCCATAAATTAAAACCGCAGATAAGCAAAATAAACTGAAGGCACCTGTAGACCTCCCTACTCCACCTGTGAAGGGCAGGAATCAACCTGATTTACGTATAACACGGATATCTACTGAACATTTCCAGTGGTGAGGTGCTTGTAGCACTGCAGATTCTTTCAGTGATTCTCAGGTTGTGTGCCTTACTTCCTCGGCACTAGAGCTAGACATGCAATTAGATTGTGGGTAGTACTGAAGCTTTTTTTTTAAGAGACCCCTTTAACTTGAAACACTGAGTGAGATGTGTGCTTTTGTGTGTTTCAAATCTCACCAGCAACCATTTACTTCAAGATCAAAAATGTGACTTTCCAGAAACAGTAGCACCCATGTAACTGAGCTCTGTCCTTGCAGGTTTAAGACATCTCAGCCACTGTTGGCATACTGTGATCAGGAATCCTCTGCTCCTGTCACTGGTGAAGATATAACAAATTGTTATTTGATATAACAAATACTGAGTTTTGCCATGTTTCATTAAGCCTTGGTTTTGGGCCACCTCAGAATACTTCACAGAACAACTGGCTGACATTCTAAGGAAACTACTTAGAGCTGGACAGATAACTTCTTAATAGGGTTACCAACTCCCAGAAGAAGCTTCCTTAAAAGTTCTGCAAAGAAGGAATGAGCAACCTGCTTCCTCCTCTTCAGTGCTGCAGAAATTTGACTGTGCATTCCCGATCCCCACCTACTATGGCCAGGAGCTACATGAGAAAGGAGAAAAGAGGGATGGAGGTCATGTTGCTTCTGTGCTGTCAGGGAGACTCTGATTTGCCAAATTCCTTCTTCCTGTGGAGCTTCTAAGGGAGGACTTTTCAGGTTTGGGAATTGGCAGCCCTACCTCAGGCCTTAACAAGGTTGCTAAGTGCTTCATAAATAGTTTTGTAGATTTTGTGTATGCTGAAAGGATGGTTGGGAGAAAAACACTTGGTATGGCTGCAATCCTGTGCACACTTACTTGGGAGGGAGGCCCACTGAATACATTGGGACCTGCTACCAAGGAAACATGGACAGCATTGTGCCGGGCAATTTTCACTGCTATTATTTTGGGAGAGCCTCTGCACTGTGTGTCACTGTTTTATGTCTCACAGGTTTACAATGTGATCTCTGTATACCTATGCAAATACTTGAAAATGCAGTTTGTTGTGCCTTTTGCCTAGTTATATTTAATAAATCTTGTGATTATTATTACAGCTGTCACTTACCAACTCACTGCATGGGGTGGAAACGCTAGATTTGAACTGTGGCAGATAGACCTGGCATGGGTAGAACTGGAGCGATGCTGCAAAACACACAAATAATCCCAAGGATTTCTCATTGCCAGCAGAGAGCGCTGCAGCTCTAGCCTGAAAGGGCACTTAGCATTTTCTTGCCTACATTATATTGAGCAATACAAAGAGGGAAACAACACTTGAACAAAGCCGATCTCCACCTTTAAGAGTTTATATAAAACAATCTTTATTTTCCCTGACCAAGTATAAATGAGCAGTGTTGAAATGTCATACAATCAAACCAGGGTGACAAATCCCAGTCACATAGCAAAACTATTCACAAAGCTGCATTGATCTCGCCTAATTATAAAATACATTCATTAGCACCAAAGATCCCAGGAATTTTAAAAGACCTTTGTGGACAACAGGGAGCTGCCACCGAGCTATGCCACACAACTGTGGACATTGTGGTGCTTGGGAAGATGCCAAGATGCTGGGAACTTCTCCTCTCTGATCTGCAGCTTGCATGCTCTTGAAATTCATCTCCTCTGTTCTCATCCAGCTGAACAGTGTCTCTGCTTCAGGAGACAGCATGCATCCTGAAGCTGGATCTTACCATTGCTGAAACAGATTTTCATTCTGCAGAGGTGAACTTGGATCTATTGGATCTATTTTAAAAATGCCACAGAGCTCTGCTGACCAACTTTCCCACCACTCTCCTCATGCAGAAAACCTGCTATGGAGATACTTAAGGGATAGACACTTTTTGGCAGGACTTGTTTGCACTGCAAGAGCAAAAGCAGCAGCTTATGGGATGCCTGGATCCTCATATCGGTTTTTTGTTCATTTAATTCTCCTCATGCAGGTTTTTTGTTCTCTTTTGCCATATCTTGGTTAATGGGGCCACCGCCATAAATCTGATGTGTCCCTGGAAGTCTGACCCCAAAACTATGTTTTATTGGGCAGCCAGAGAGCATGGGGGTATGGATCCAGAATCTGCACTCCTTGAGAGTCAGAGCTCATAGAACGTCTCACCACCTGATTTGGGGGATCACTGCATCCAGCAGGGTCTCCTGACTCTCCATGTAGCCTTTCCTGGGGGATGCAGGGTCCCATCTGGAATGGGTGGGGAAGCCTACTTCTGCCAGAGCAGTTAATCCAGCTTATTCTAGACCCAACTACAATCAGGTTGTGAGCTAGTTTTGCACCTGTATGGCACTAAGCTCTTGGGATTTGTTCCCAAGCCACATGGATTTAGAAGGATTTGGGGAAGGAGTTTGAAAAATAGATCCAGCTCTGTTTTCTGAAAGCTAATAAACTAGAAAGCAAATCAAAAAATAACTTATATATTCCTTGCTTGCTTCAAGAATCAAATGATTTTGAAAAGGTTTGGCCCATAAGCCTGTCATGGATTATCTTACTTAGTTTGCCATAATCAAAGACAATATGCTTCTTATAGAAATTTTTGGTCATCCAGGCTAAGAGAAGAGACTTTCATTGACCAAGGAAAGAGGGTCATCATTTGGGAAACTAATAAGAATCAAAGGAATCAAACCCAAACTCATTTACTGCCATCACACCATAACTCTGACTCTGATGCCTGGATCCCAATTTTCACTGCTGTGATCATATCTGGGATCTGAACAGCACAGAAAGATAACTGGGCCTTCTAGTTATCCAGTTATCCACCCAGACTCCTGTGGAACAGGCAGTTCATTAACACTAGGAAGCATTATTTCTTACGCCTTCCTGAAAGAAGGTATCTAAAAACAAGCACACGTGGTCTAGCCTACACAATCTTATTAAGAACTTCTTGTGTATTAGCTACTCCATTAAGATGTGGCATAGCAAGACTCCCAAAGAGAATGGATGGAGCACCACAGCTGCTCCAGTACTTAGTCAAGGAACACACAGAAGAACCTAAAGGAAAAAGGGAAAAATAAAGGCGTAGTTTTCCATTGTTCATGTCACATGGAAGCCACAGTGCTTCTTCCCAAGGCCGTGTGGGAAGTGCCCACACTGTGGCATGAATCTAGTTTCCAAAGAGATGATGCTACCTGCCATGGGAAGCGGCTGCTGCATTGGCCCCTCATGTTTGTCCCAGACTCCAGAGTAACTTAAGTACTGGGCCCAGTCACACAAGCATGTAATCAGCCATGTTGGGGGAGAAGTAGTTGACTAGCACTGGGACACGTGGGGAGAAGCTCATTATGTCCCTGCTTCAGGAAATGTGCAGAAGTGAGAGCACAGTAACAATTTTGCTACCACACAAGAGAGCACTGCAGAGGACTCCCTCTCTGCATGGCTGTACGTTCACGGCATGATGAATGGCCGCCCGACACCTGAGGATTCTTCGCCAGCCCTTTGGTACAGTGATGGAAACTAACTGAGATTTACTTCACAAGCTGTCATGAGTACAAGAGGTTATTACACATGCACTCTGGGGCGTGAAATCTGATCACCATGGCAATTAACCTCCCAATATTCACTGGCATTGCGAGATGGCTGCAGCAGTATCAATCAGAGCAAACAGCATAATTACTGTGTTAATTCATCAGTTTAAAAAAACCCAAAACAATTTACAATAGTGGAAGTCTAAAAAGACACTAAGAATGCAGTCCTATGCATATTTGGGCAGAAAAAGAGCTGTAAGACTTTTTCCCAGTCTAAACATGCACAGGACTGAATCCTAAGGTGACAATCCTTTACTCATTTTCCTGGGAGTAAATGTCATTGAGCTCCTGTACATTTGAGCCAATACATGTAAAGACAAATCTACACACGCAGAAAAGGCATATGGTCTGGTCCTACTGGGATTTTACCACTTAGGACAAAAGGTAAAGGAACACATGATTGAATTTCTAGCCCTTCCCCAACCCTAAAAATTAGGAATTTTGAGGCAACATAAGAAAACTGCTGTTTCTGGGACAGGCGTCCTAACTTCTTAAAAAAAAAGAAATACCCTTGCCTTGCCATAACAGTTCCAGCAGGGGATTTTGGAGTTGAAGACAGGTACAACAGCTTTCTTTGAAGCTGCACATTTTGATGTGCTTCTTGGCCAGAGACAGCCTTTGTCCATGCTGCGCAGGGGAGGTTCCTCTTACAGAAGGGCATAGAGGTCACTGCAGTCACGGATCCAGGCCAGTGAACACTTTGTTGTCTGGGAAAGGCACAGCCATGCCAGCCACAGAAATTCCAGCGAACACAATGCGCAGTGCCATTGCAAAGGGTGAAATGAAGGGGTCCCAAGAATGGTGGAGTAGAGAAGGTGCTAGTTCCTTGGGCTCAAGTCAATTGCTGTTTCCAGAACATGTATACGGTGGTGTTTCACTGAATGCAAACTCTTGCACACAAGCCGTTTGGTCGCAGTCCCAGTCCCTGCAGCTGCAGGATTATTCATTTTAGGATTCAACTGCAGATCATGAAAACTTTGGGTTTGCCATCAGCCTTGGCTTCTGGATCATCCAGCTCTATTAGGATGTTCTTGTCATCCTTCTTTGCTCGGGCCTGGTCGCCCTTCTGAAACATTTGCGGAAGGTTGCGCAGACTGATGTCCATATCCTTGAAGGCATGGAGTAGGAACACTCCAAGAATTATGGTAAGGAATCCGCACACTGTTCCAATGATGTCCACGGCGGACATGGTGACCCACTCCTTAAAGAGGATGACTGAAGTTGTGATGACAATGGTGGTGAAGAGCACATAGTAGATGGGGAAAACCATGGAGGTGTTGAAAATATCCAGAGCCTTGTTGAGGTAGTTGATTTGGGTGGTGATGGAGGCCACTAGTGTGAGGACAAGGATCCAGGTCAGGGGGTCCTGCAGAACAGGCTGGTGGGCAAAAAATTCCTTGATGGCAATGCCCAGACCTTTGACAGAAGATACGGAGAAAGCCCCAATCACAGAGCAGATGGTGAGGTAGATGAGGATATTGGACTGGCCGTAGCGTGGAGCTAGGAAAAAAATTAGAACCAGGCAGACCACCAAGAGAATGCTAGCATAAACCAGGAAACCTGGAAGAGAAAACCACAGGGAGTGACTGTCAAGTTATGGCAGATTCAGGCAATGCAGAGCACAGTTTGTAAGGCTGTTTTTACTACTGAATGTACTAGCTGCAACATGGCAAGGGTGCATCACAAACGGAGGGAAATAATTCTATCGGTCAACAAATAGGATTTCAATTGTAAGAAATGGGTATTCTTCCACTCACATGAATGGAACCATGTGGCTCAGCCCAGCAAGATCCAGCACAACCATTCAGCACAGATACTCAAAGGGCAGGATCCAGAGAAGATGTGTGCATAGTCCATGGGTGTAACTGCTTTGTCCCTTAGATTTTGCATATTGGAGGTGGTCCACCTGAAGCCCTGCCACCCAGAACCCCAAAACTCTGATTTAAACCCCCATAAGGGCAGTTGAAGAAAGGAACTGGACAAAGGGGCAGGAAATCTTTGCTTAAGAGCAGTTGCTCCCAGGAATGATCTGGGGTGGAGACTGCCGGTGGCTGGAGGCTCCTTTATCGGTGAAGCAATGTATCCACCCAGAGTCTCAGCCTGAACTATGGCACCATCCATGGTCCTGAACCTAGTTTGGTGCCAAGTTTGTACTCTATTCGGTGCCAGGCCAAAACTTTTTTTATTTAAACAGCATTTTAAAATTTAACAGTTTTTAAGTTTAGTCACTCTGTTTGTTTTGTGATTTATTGTCTTATTCTCTTTTATTATTTATTGAAATTCTTGTTTTAATTGTCTTTTTAAATATTGTAAGCCGTCCTGAGATCTTGTATAATAGGACGACATACAAAAGCTTTTAATAAAATAAATAAATAAATAAATAAATAAATAAATAAATAAGAAAATAAATATGTTTCAGCACCAAGGATAATTCCCTAAAAGTTTAGACTAAACCTGGAATAGATACACTGCTCCACTGACATTGGCATCACCACTGGTGGAGATGTTTTGTATGATAGCTCTGAACTACCAGATGCACGAATATGGTGGCCGCCACACTGGAGATTCACTCTTGTGGAAACAGCTCTGGACAGCCGCTGCACCACACACTGAACTGGGACTTAGACACTTGTTAAGCTTTCAATGCAGTGGGGAGATCTTTAACCCTTTACCACCCTGCCTCACAGTTACCTGGCTCTTTCAGCTTAGAGGCCATCTCATCCAGAGTGGTGACTTCCTCTTCCTCTGGAGCATGAATCACCAGGACTGTACTACCCACAATGCTCAGCATGCAACCAAGTTTGCCCAGTAGGTTGAGCCGTTCTCCGAGTAAATAGGAAGACAGAATGGAACTGTGCAAAGCAGAAAAGTAGTTCAGTGAAATTTCTTTGATAGTGTGCTTTTATAGAAAATTAATTCTATAAGGTTAAAATGGTTCCCCATTAATAGCAGATTTAGAGAGACTTATTTCAGAACTGGAAGAGTTGGGGGAAGTGATGAGAGATTTCAGATGCAGACATAGTTTTGGATACTCCAAAATAGGAACCAATCCTCTGACATTTGGTCTTTCTGGAGAAATGTAGCCTTCAGGTCCCAAATCAATGCCATCAATAAACATGGCACACTTTGACTGAGGTATCTTCCAATTTAATGAGACTGATCCTGACTTGAAAGTGACAGAAAAGGTAAAAGAATACAAATGCTCACTTGGCAAACAAACAATGGAGGGAAATCACCCCAGTGTTAAACTCCAACAAGCAATACTCTGCAAATGAAAAGCTGAAACAAGTATATGACTATTTGTCTACTAGGAAAATGTTATCAAGCTACTTTTCCGTTTGCCTGGTAAGTCATGGTACTGCCAGCTCTAGATGGGGATAGAGTAACACGTGAAGAAAAGTACCTTATGAGCACGCTCAGGGCTCCGAGAGGAGTAACAATTGTTGCAGGTGCAAAGGCATATGCGGCAAAGTTGGCAGCTTCTCCTCCACCCACTGAGCAAACAGCCAAAGGGAAAGCAAAGGACAAGCAAATTACAACAAATGTTTTCCCTGTTGAAATCTTGCTAATCTTGTTTGCATTCGGTGCCATAAAGCTTGGCCCACCATGGAACACGGACATTCAAGTCCATCAGAGATTAGTTCCAGGAGTGAGTGGATCTAATTGCCCGAGTGCCATAAATGTTGTCGATCAATTTTGCAAAATGTTGTACCAGATGATGGGCCCAATTCATAAGCAAATCAGGCAGCAGTGAAATGGCAACACAAGAGTCACCACCTTTAATTAGCAACTTCCAAAAGAAGTAGCTCTCTATATTAGTCTGCTGGAACAGAGAGGGTGAAAGACTTGTAGTACTTTACTGTGTTCTGGTCCATGAAAATGGATGCCGTAAACACTGGCCAGCTTTGAAGGCTCTTTGTTGCTTTTGATCAGCAAGTGCATCATTTCCACTGATGAACACTGCCAGTGGACTGCTCCATTTCCAGTCCCCACAAGGTGGTAGCACTTGAAAGTGGCAACACTTGAAAAACAATTTGCATGGGCTTCAGCCCAATCAGAGTGCTTCCAGAGAGCTCTAGCACTAAAATTGAGAAGGTATTTTGCAGCTCTTCTGCTTCTTCTTTGTCGATAGATTATCAACATTAGGAGAAAAGACAGAAGGAGAAGTGGGAAAATATGGGGAGCTTACATGCTAAAGGTGGCCACAATGCCCCCCACCCCACTCACACAAGATGTTGTTTACAAGACAAGGAGAATGGTGCTATGAAAGCACCCTTAGCAACGCTCCATGCCACCATGAAAAGAGGCCTTCAAATGTTACAACCAGCTTAAGGGGCACCACCATATGGAAGTGCCTCCACATGGTGCGTGTAGATTGAGGCAGCCCTTGGAGCACAGGGAAATAGGGGTCCAGTTCTCTGATAATCAAGTGCTGGAATAGGGACAATACAGGCTAGTCCTACTTACTGGTCAGCAGGCCAGCCCACCACAGCCAGTCCTTTAGGTAGCCATGACCTCCATCCCCTGGGAAGGAAAAGACACACATGCTTGGAGACTCATCGGAGAAAAGACCTGTGCTGCCTTAAATACAGACAGCAAACTAGACAAATTAGAAATATTAAGAGGGAAACAAGCAAAACCCTGCTTTAGGAAAATAATAGTTTAATCTTTGCAAAAGCAAAGGCATCCTCAATTTCAGTAGGTTATAGATGCAGGAGTTTAAAAATTCCTTCTGAGAATGAAAAGGAAAGATGACCTGGTTAACTTTACTGGAGATATGCAGTCCTTTTGCAGCAAGAGTGGAAATACTATGGACCTTTTTGGGCTTACTGCTAAATTCTGGTTTAATGCTACATGGGTGAGATTCAGACTTGGGTCTGAAAACTCCCACTCCTTTTCCTCCTCTGTCATGACCCCAAGGGAGGAGATCAGAAGCTTTCATTCCTACTTTTAAAGTAACCAGGGTCACCATTATGTCGAAAATGAGGGAACTCAGCTTAATTTAATGCTCAGTTTGTACAAACATGCCAAGGTCATCAACTATGATTTATTCCTGGCTTGCTTGAATAAGCCGTAGTTTAAGCAATCAGAATGCACTGAGTTCAGACTCAAGTTAGTTTAAAAGTAGAAACAGATGCTTCCAATTTCCTCTAAGAGTGGGAGGACAACAGCCAAGGTTCATTCTTATAGCGCTCAAGTACAGTTTGGCATTATGGCTCTGTCATTCTATCTTCTATTTATCTTCTGCATAGGTTTGCTACTTGAGCCCCTGAATCCAAGATCTATGTGGGCATCTTTTTGTGTTTAATCAAGAAATGTGGAAATTTGCGGTTTAAAGATTATAACCACAAAAGGTTATTATTGATAGACTAAGAATGACAACACATTCCTAACCCATACCTTATCAATCAATAAGAGAATAACCTTTCCCCATATAAACATGAATCTTAAAGAGGGGCTTACTGGACTACTGATTCATCCATCCCTGAGCTGTCTACACTGACTCCTCCAAAGTTTCAGATGTAAGATTTTCCCAGCTTGTTAGGACAGGACCTTAACTGGAAAATTTCTGGGATACAACATGGGGTATTACTTGTATAAACTTGTGCTCTGGCACCAAGCTCCAGGTATTCCATTCTAGATACTTCCAGATCAAGGGCAAAATTGGACAATACAGAGGTTCTAGATAGATGGCATTTCTGTGTAGCGAATAATATGGAATCCTCATGGAAGGCATAAAATCCAACAGTTCTACAGGAAGTACTTCTCTGTACAGCACACAGCTGAACGGTGGTATTTGCCAGCACAGGCTGTTGCGAAAGCACCCCATTCAGATCATTTTAAAGGGAACAAGCTGACTAGGTGAGACCTAACACAGCTGGCAATCGCAATACACACAATGGGCTAGGCAAACATTTGCCGGCAGTGCAAATGTTCTGGTTTCATCATAATTCCTATAAGGAAGTACCTTGTACCGTCCTTGAAGGGAACTACTGAAACATGGGAAGCTATTCCAAGGGTAAATACACAACAGCTATTCCTTGTGTAGAAAAAGGAAGTGTGAAGTCATGCGGGCCTTCCACGGCCAGATCCAACTTCTCCAAGAACAAGAGAGAAATCGTGGGAGTACTACTCATAGCATGCTAAGGGGTTGGCACAGGAATGTTGCACCGGAGGGCCAAGCTCCGTTTTGGAAAAGCTCCTGGGGGATTGCATTTCAATGGTGGGTGAGGCCAAAGAGAAAGGGGACCTGGGCCAAGTCCCCAAATGCCAGTATAGTGAGGGGAGGGATTCATTGTTCCTGGGACCTGCCATGTCTCCAAACATGGACCTGAGGAATCACTTCTTAATTTTTTTTGAACCTGCATTTGTATGGTGATGCTGCTGCTGTTGCAACACTGCTTAGGTCAGACTGCCACCTGGTTGTGGGTCTTGACCAACCAGCAGATTATCCATGGGTTAGATTACTTGTTGACCCAGCATTGCGCAGGTTCACACACGCATGCTCGTTGCTTGAGTGCAGCATCAACCAATGCCTTGGAGGCACACAGGGCCACGCACAGTTCAGGGGTGAGTTTAGCACCACAGATGAGGGTGAGGGGTGCAGAAAACTTTCACCCCTGCTGACAGCCATGTCTATGGGTACAGGCTACACACACATACACAGACACTTGTGAGGCATCACAAGCTGGGAGTCTTTCTCCATAAGACTGATGCATTCATAGTATTCTACCACTTGCCTTAGAGAGAAAGAGTGTGATTGTGACAGACACATCTTTGCAAACACGTGGTAGATAAAAGCACACTCAGCAGAGGGCCATGACTGATTGCAACTTCCAGTTCAGAGTGCACACAATCGTAAGCACAGGCTGTGCTCTGCTGCGAATCATGCATGAAATGGTTCTCCAAAGACTCCACGGCTCAAAGTCGGGCCTCTGTAACTTAGAGACCACCACAGCCTTTTCAGAAGCCAGCTTCTTCCATGCCACTTCCCTTGGCAGAAAAACCATACCTGCCCTGGTGCCTCCTTTCTCTACCAGTCGAAGCAGTCCTTTCTTCTTGAGGATGACGCTGCTGCCAATGAGGAAGCTGGAGAAGACAGCCAGGGCCAAGCCAATGTAGAAGCCATACTTGTCTTGTACTCGCACCATCCAGCTGGTGTTTAGAGTGGGATTCTTCTGGGACGAGACGGTTGAGTTGGCATTCCCAACAACCTGGCAGACAGCCTGATGAGACAGGCAAATCAGAGTGAACAATGAACCTGGGAAGACAGGAAGAATGGGGATGGAGGTGAGGATGGGAGATGATGTTTTTAAAGGGCAATAGCTTGCTTGCTGCTATCCTATATGCCATCTCAAAATAGGATTCCCACGTATTCAAACAAGTGATGTCCAACCGTGAGATTGAAACCATGTACGTTTTGAAACTGGCAAAGGAAAGGAATGTGAAAAGAATGGACTCCTGGAAGTTTGAATAGACAATCACCATCCATACCCAACACTTCTTGTTTCCACCCCTTGTTCTGTAGTGGACAGGTCTTGACAGGCCAGACATCAGCAGATCATCTTCAATGACCTTAATTAACATACAGTTAACAAAGCTTTTAATTAACAGAGCTGGAATCTTTTGTGAAAATGCACTTGCGCTTTGAATGAAACAGCCACTCAGGCCCTATTGGGATAATCATATATGCAGACTTTCTGACTGTTACGGAGTGGTGAAAGGTGAGGCAACTCCACCAACATGGTGGCATCCATGTAAAACTCAACGAACGAGCTTTGATTTGACTCTACAGAATCCCAATAGTTATTGAAATGACCTACTAAGTGAGCAATTCTACTGTTTATTCTCAAGAAGAGCACTAACATCATCAGAAGCACTCATCACATTAAGAGTAGCAGCAGATGGTGGGACCAACACCTCGTCTTTGGGATGGCGATCACCTTCCCAAGCATAACTTTTAACAACAGGACTAGCAGGAAATAGGAAAAGGCACTGGCCTCTGTGCTACTTCTCTGGTTAAGACAAAACCAGCATCAGAAAAGGAGGTGGTGGGATGTGATGGTCATGGCCAGTGCCAGCTTTCCAGGGTAGGGTCCTGCCCCCAGCTTTGTTTATTTGCCTCATGCACAAATGGCACAATCATTTGGAGGCAGATTCATCGGAGGAAGAAGCAGAGGAAAGCCAGTGTAGTGAGCCCCAGACAGAGCCAGGCAGGGAGACTGATGCTGCAGCTGAAGCCTGCCACTGAAAGAGCAGCCCGGCCCTTTTCCCTCCTGAAGAATTTACGCAAGAGGAGCATGAGCGCTGGTAAACTCTGTCGCTGGGTGCTCTCTTTGTTGGGCATCCCCTGCCTATATAACTTAAGGCATATTGGCCAAATCAACCACTGCTGTCAATCAAAGGGATCTCAAACTTACAGAGTAAAATCTGCCAAATGTCCCCTTTGAGTTGCCCTCCCTTGTCCTCCTTGCACCACTTTGATCAAGACGAGAAGTGCTCAGGGATGCTAGCAAGGGCCCCTGATGTAAGACTAACTGATCTCACTCAATGTGGATTTCAGGCAGGCCAGAATTTCAAGTTCAGAATTTATACTTCTGTTATTAGTTTTGCAGTAGAAGACAACAAGAAGTGGGACACTGAAAGAAAGCCACGTGTAGACTAAAAGGACAAGAAATTTGCTGACTGGATAGCTGAAAAATAGGGACAAAGGGGACAACGAGACAGGATTGTGGTCTAGAAGTTCTTTGGCCAGTAATGGTCATCAAAAGATTGGAACACAGAAGTAAGGTAGGTGGGAGGCATGGATAGACATGAAATGCTAGCATGCCATGTGTTCAAGAGCCAATCAGACTCTGGCATATACTACAACTCACTCTGCTACTTTGAATGACATGTGTAAGTCTTAGAAAAGGATCGTTCCTATATTCCAGCAGTTATCACGATTCAAGTTAAGAAAATCTTCTTTTGCATTCTCTGTGTGGTTCTCTGTAAGTTTAATAAGACTTGTTGGACATATAAAATGACAGTGCAGTTCAATTCAGGAAACTGGAAAAAAAACCAAGAACCAAGGCTTCCCTGTGAGATGAGATTTGTAGGGAAAATCTGCAAACAAGATTTGTGAATTTTACAGTGTCTCCAAAACCCACCTCCTCCTCCTTTGGACAGAAGGGACAGTGCCCAGCCCACAAGCACAAATGATGTTACACCAGGAGAAATGAGGTTCTGAACTATGAGCAAGAGGAGAATCCAGCAGAAGCTACATTAGACTGATCTTGTGCAATGGAAGGATTTGGTAGAGCTCCACCAGTGTTAGCTGAGTTTCCAGAAAGATACTGCTCAAGCAGCCTTCCCCGAAGGAAGGAAGGAAGGAAGGAAGGAAGGAAGGAAGGAAGGACCACAGATTCAACTCTGAGTATTTCTCACAGTGTCCCACACATGTGGGCTGGATTCATATTTCCTCACTACCAAGTCATCTGTCACAAACAATCAGACTGGAAAAACTTGATTTATCTGCATTCAGGAATAATACTAATGAACCTAGCTCTTTTTTGCAACTGTGAACACTCCTGCATGCAATAGATGAAGTATCCTTGCAGCAGCCACATTGTGATCACCCCCGAATCCTGTTGGTTCACCCCTGAAAATGCAAAATATGCTCGCTGGACAGCTGTTAAAACATTGTTAGTGAAAGTCAAAAACAAAGGATAAACAATAGGTAAATGCTATGACCTCCACACTAATAAACCTTTCTACAGGATAATGGAATTCAAATCAAAAGGCTAGGCAAAGCACTAGAAAAAGAAGAAAAAAAGCAAAGCAACCCAATGTTCAGAACCAGAAATGATGCATACGCTATGTCCCAGCACATGCAGATGCACGCGCACACACTTCTGGCAAAATGGAACACGTAATTTATTTTAACTGGAAGCAGCACAGACACTCATCAGGTTTTGTCAGTGAAGGTGTGCCAGCAAGTGTGAGAGGGAAAACTGATGAGTCGTCGGGGTTCCCAGATTCCAGGCACGCCCATGAGACTGATCCAACTCCATCACAGCACAGCCCACGAGGAGAGTATTGCAGCAGCCTCATTAAGGCGGCCCTTGATTGCTGCAATCAGGCTGCTTCAATTATAAGTTTAATGTGGAGTTGCTAAGAGCTGAGTTTTGGAGCATAAGAAATCTCACAACACACACACACACAATGGGTGAGGCACAGCTAAAGATTACAAAGATAAGCAAGGATCACTGTGCAAAGAAGCTGCAGCTGGTGCAGAATGAGGGATGGTAACAGTGGTATAGAAATAGTACAAATAAATAAACATGCAAAGTAAATTTCTCTGAAAAGAGAAGTCCTAAGAGCTGAGCTGCTGCGAGGAGGATCTGACCCTGGACTAGGAACATCTGCTGCATGACCTATGAGAAGCAACTAAGGAGGAGATCTGTTTTTCAAGCTTGCCAACTGGACAGGAAAAAACCTGGCCCAACCCATTCTTGAGTCTTTAGGTGACACTTTTAATTATTTGGAAAGCTTCAACTGGGTGGGTTCAGACAACATAGCAACCCATATTTCAACAACAACCCACTTTTAGACCATACTTAATCCTCAGCTTGATACCCCATGATAAAGTATAGGCACGAGTTAAGTATGGATTGTGAAATGTGGGTTATCTTTTTGTCTGAACCCCACTGTTCTAGCAAGCCATGGCTTGTTAATCACAGTCAGCTCACGAAGAGAACCTACAGTTTGTTCTTGGGTTGTGAACACTGTGTTGTTCACCATTGTTTCTTATCTTGCTTGGGTTCAGACAACATGATAACCTATATCAACAACCCATAGTTAGTTAGTTAGTTTGTTTGTTTATTTATTTATTTATACTTATTGGAATTCTTGTATGCCACCCCATTCGCATAAGCCTTGGGGAGGCTTCCAACCCATAAGTAAATATCAATACAAATACATAAAAAAACTGGAAACTTCCTGGCATAATAATTTAAAACCAATAAATAAATCAGCAATTATTAAAATAACGTTTAAATAAAAAGGTCTTGGCCTGGCGCCGAAAAACAAATAGCGACGGCACCAGGCAGACCTCTCTGGGGAGCGCATTCCATAAGTGGGGCGCCAATTATCAGTAGTCCACGGATAACCTCCACTCAGTCCATAGTCCTTCCTTGAAAGTGGGTTCTGAACCAGCCCATATCATCCGCTAATGACTTGCCCATATCTAAAACATAGTGAGGAGGCTACAACATCTGGATTCTGGAAAGATTTATGCTGGTTGTACCTCAGCTATGAAGCTTACTGAAGCGGGAGGACTGCTTGGCAGCACTGGCTTTCAGAGTACACGTGATAACCTACTGGCTTGGATCTCAGGCAGAATGCTTTATCATTCAGTGGAGCTTTCCTGGTTCCTCCCTCCCACTATAGTTCTTTGTGCTCATCCAAAGTGCTCCACCAAGTGCACTAAGGCAGAGGCAGCTTCAGCATTGTGGGTAAATTGGGAGAAACTGGTAAGACTGCCTTGCGAAACAGAAGTGCTTTCCAATCATACATCCACAGTGTTTATTTCAAAAAGCATTTAATGAACCCAAAGTCAACATCACACCACAGGAAGGACACCACTGAAAGAACAAGACCTCTGTGCCTTCTTCTTCCTTGCAGCGGACTTTGGGCACCCTCAAAATGTCCAGAGATTCCCCCAAAGCAGATCCAGAGGGGATATGGGGAGCTGCAGCAGGGAGAAGACGACGTGGGAGTCCTGTTCCACCAAGAATTACTTTCAACCGGCAGAATGAAGAAGGTGTGTGCAAGTCACTTGTGTATGGCTTAATTGTAAGCAATTGGTTGTATTTTCTTTTTATGGTTTATAGAACATTTTAATTTTTTTCAAACAAATGAAAAGTGGACCCGAAGATTTTTCCCTTCACTAATTCTTGTTAGTTCAAAACAAAAACTTCATTCATCTTCAAAAATAAAGGATACAGCAAAATTTGTTTAAAGTGCATTAGGGTGCAATCCTACGCATGTTTAGACTGGAAAAAGTCCTACATCTCCCAACAGTCCCTAACCATTCTGCTGTCTAAACATGCACAGTATTGTTTATTGTGTTCTTAATTGGCTATAGTTAGTTAACTGGCAGCTGGAGACTTTGTAAAATCCAAAACTATAGACAGTGCTCAGCATAGTCCAAAAGTCATTACACAGTTTGTAAAAAGCACAGGGATCCTGCCAGAAAAAAATGAATCATTTTACTCCTGTTTTATAATGTAGTTTTAAACATTTTATGCTGTTCTTTATGCTTTCAAACTGTTTTTTAAGTGGTTCGTGAACTGGCCAGAGTGTTTCAGCTATTGGGCGATCCAGAAGAGAACTAAATAAATAAATAAAGGCAGCCCTGTGCTGAAAGAAAATAGCCTTGGCCCATTAACTAGAGCTGAATAAACACAGAATGAGAAGATTTGATCTACTGGGATAACAAGGCAATCTAATCAACCTATAGCCTGATTTTCAAAGCACAACTCTGCAGCAGTCTGAAAATCCAGCAATGCAAATGTGGCGTGGTGTTTAGATCCTGGCACTTTGCCTGATACAAACCAGTCTTTGTGAGCCTGAAAACAAAACCTGAATTATCTGCACCATACGCACAATGGCCCAATGTCATACAGTAGCCTTTTCCTTCCTTGGCAATTGATAAGAATGCCAATATCCTCAAAGGCAAAGATCCAGCAGCAGAGGAGGAGGAGGCTGAGGATGAAGGCAGCCAGCGGCACCCCACTGCTGAGGCTGTCCCTGCTATCTCCTCTGAAGGGATATTCAAATGGACAGGGAGGGGGCGAAGCGTCCGCTAAAGTGAGGGAATGGGGGGCATGTCCTGGGTTTGCTATATACATGCAGCAGTCTTTAAAGGGATGAAAGCATCCCAGGAGAACCCAATGGGGTGCATCATTTCAGACCATGAATGCAAGTGCTCCCATATGTTTAAAAAGCACACAACAATCCACAAAAGACAGCTAATCCTGGTAGGAATAGGCTGGGATATGGTTGTTATCTTTGAGGTGTTGGTGTTTTGTGTTTTACTCTCAGGAACTTTATTGCATGTGGGGAAGCAACAGAAATAGCTTCCTGACAGCACAGGAGGAGGAGAATGATGTGAGCCGCTTTGAGTTCTTTAAAAAAAGAAAAAAAGTGGGATATAAATTTAATAGTGAAAAAAAGAAAATGATGCAGCCCTCTCTAACACCATTGGATTCTATCCTCTTATCCACTATTCGTGAGAACCAGCCCTTAGTATTCCTAGATTAGTATATAGAACAATCACATGCAAATGTGGAGCTTATTTAGCTAGTATGATTTACAGCATAATGCAATTTTTCTTCAGACACATCAACTTCTTCCTTCTCTTTTCTCCTCCTATATTCTTTATTTACTTATTTTATACTGTTAATTTTAATTTTATATTATTATGTTTGTATCTCAGTGTATTTTTGTATTTAGTGGTAATTTATTATGTTCTATTGTATTTCAATGTATTTTATTGTGTTGTAAGCCGCCCCGAGGCTTCGGCAAGGGGCGGCATAGAAATGTTATAATAATAATAATAATAATAATAATAATAATAATAATAATAATAATAAGTTCCCCTTCAGAAGGGTGTACTCCTCCACGTTTGCCTTTGAAGATGGTTCAGAAGGTGCACCTTGTGCCAGATGTGGCCACCAGACTGTCAATGGGACCCAAAGGTCTGAACATGTAATACTGAGTCTGGCCCCGTTAAACTAAGCTAATTCAAGGCTCTGGCTTTGACCCTTCAAAGCCTGATTGGGTTTGGGAGCACAAAACTGAAAGAGCGCCTTTCCGGGTTTGAATCTATCCACAAGACTGTGCTCAGTATTGGAGGGGGTGCGCCAAAGGAGGCTCAGGGTGGTTACCAGAGAGGGGCCTTCCTGGTGACAATGGAACCACCTCCTCCATGAAGCCTGTCTGGTCATCTTCTTCAGGCTATGTGAAGAACTTCCATCTGTCTTGGGAATTTGGCAGCGTATGATAAAGTTCTGAATCAGACCCTGGGATTTTTTTTACAGTTGTTATACTTGTTTATATACGTATGTGTGTATTGTGTACACTGTGTATGTAAACGGCTTTTATATTAGGTTATGATATTGTATTTTTAAGGTTTAAAATTTTTAAGGCTTTAAATCTTTATAACCTCCCAGAAAGCTTTGCCTATGGGGCCTTATATAAATTTAATAAATGAATGAAAATGACTCCATGAAGCTAAGGCAGTAGACAGAAAAAAATCTACTTAAGCATCTTTATTATTGATGTTCCCTTTGCATCTGATGCTGAGTCCAATTAAACTGCATTTTTGGAACTGAGCTAAGTCCTCTGAATTTCCCTTTGCTTCTTGGAAGTCCCGTAGCCCTGTTCCACCTCATGCTCTCTGTGCTCACATGACCTCGACAGGAAACATCCAAACCTGTAGCTCTGCCCTCACTCTCAGCAGAGGCAAAGAGAACATAAAACTTGAGGGCACCAGAGAAATTAGCCAATGGACTGTGTCATGCCATCAGTCACTCCTGTACGGTGTCTGACACAGTAGACTTTGGTGCATTATGAAAGCAAATGTTGTCTTTGATCCATTATTTCAATATGCTTAGAGCACTTCAGTGGCAACAGAGTGGTTGGGGAAGGAAAATATTTCTCACATGTATTTGTGAGTGGCTGATTAGAGGAACCATCTCATCCTCCAGATGGTTTGCACTACAACTGCCATCAACCTTAGCCAGAGTGCCCAATGGCCCAAGATCAAGAGAGTCATAATTCAAAGCATTGGGAGGTTGATGAGCTCTACTTATTCTTTGAATCGACCCCTTGAAACTTATGATGCACTTGCCACATTAATTTCAGTGGCACCGCTCTAAGCATGATGGATGCCAGGCTGGGCTATGGATGATCCAACCCCTGGAGGGTGCCAGACTGGGGAAGGCTGTAAGCAGCAGTGCAGTGGCCTGTTGAGTCCACAAGCCACCAGCCCAGAATCGCTTTACCATCATCAACTTCCGCTGGGCCTTTAAGTGCATCCAAGAGTTCTTGGACACAGTCGCTGGCATGACAAGAAATAGGACAGACAACCAGAGACAGGGCAATTATCCCTGCTGTCTGATGCCAGGATAGTACCCCCCAATGGGTTTTTGGGGTTTGACAAGCTGCTGTGTGTGGACTTCTGATAAAACTGGAGCTAAATGCTTCAGTGCAGAGAATTCCACCTCTTCCACTTCATGAGGATGGCTGCACCAGGGCCCATAGCTCACAGTCCCTTGGGAGGAATGGGGCAGGTCCAGAAGAAAGCTCAGAAGACATACTGGGCCAGAAGCCACCCGTCATAAGCGACGACGTGACACGAAATGTCACGCACCATCCTTCTGATGCGTCCTCACGAGCACCTCGTCAGTTTCGCACATTCTCCGCTTTCCTGCCCCCCATCCAGAAACATGCTCCAAACACTCTAGATCGGAGAGCAAGTATTCACACGCCAAGTAGGGAGGGCGTCCTCTTATACAATCCGTTTTTCCACTGGGGTCTCAGGACGTCTCTCCACCCTCACTTCGCGCGCTCACCTTTTTTGGGAAGGGGAGGCGACACGCGCACCCCACGGTCAGAGGGGAGAAGAGCAAGGGGTGAAATCTCGGGAAAGGAGCGGCGACACACCCGCTTCCAAACCGCCATCACCCGCGCAACAGCAAACTCCCACCCGTGGGGAAGGGAGACGTGCTCTCGGGATCCTCAAGACCAAGCGGCGCGGGCGGGAAAGGCACCGAGGCGCTCGGGTCGTGCGCTCGCTCCCGACGGCCCCTAAAGCGTCACGCGTCTCCCGGCAGACTCTTCCCAGGTCAGGAGGCGACGCTAATACGGGAGGGGGGAGGCCGGGGAATTCGTCTCGCGGCGTGGGGAAGCCCCCGGCCGGCTCCTCGGGACCCCGGAAACGTCCCTTCGGGTTGTGGGGAACGGGTGGCGTGGGAATTGAGACCTCGAAGGACGAAGAGGAGGGGAGGCGGGGGCGGCAACTCCCCGCGCCACCCGTCGTCCTCCCCGCCCGGCCCGGCGGCGGCAACGCGGCGCGCCCACTCACCGTTGGCACAGCTCCCGTTGACCCACAGCGGCTCGGGTCGCTCCATGTGCGCGTCCCCGGGCGCCCGCCGGGCCAAGATGCCGCCGCCGCCGCCGGAGCCGGGCAAGGGAGCGCGCGCGTGCCTGCGTCCGGCGGGGAGACCTGCCGCCCGCCGCTCTCGCCTCTCCTTTCGACAGCAAGCGGAGGAAGCGCAGCCTCGCCCCGGCCTGTGGTGAGCTGGCGAGCTGCTCCCGGCCAGGCTGGGATCGCACCTGCCCCAGCCGGACGCCCCGCGCCACGCTCCTCCCTTCCCCGCCTCCCCGTGCGCACAGGGCGCGCACCGCCGCCGGCTCGCTCGGCCACCTCTCTCTCCGTGGCACGCGAGGGGCGAAGCGGAGCGCACTGTGCCCGCGTGCCCGTGCCCGTGCGTGTGCAGAGCCCGGTGCGTTCCGGTAGCTTGCGGTGGGCGCGCGGCGCGCCTGTGGTTAGAAGTCCTGTTGCTAGATGCTCAATGCCCGAGGTCGCTTTGGATACAACGAAAAGGTAGCCCTTTTCACCGTAAGTAAAATTCCAAGATCCATGCTCCGAATAAGGCCAACCAAAAGGGCACAAAAATGTGCAGGCTTTCCAAATTTCTGAATCTCTTCATCGTGCAAGATGTTACCCAAAGCAGGCGCACAGAGAATAAGGGGGTTGGAAAAGGACTTGGTGGTGAAGACACATTGTCTGCGGGAAAGAGCATGCAGACGGTGTGACTCCACTATCGATCCAGTTTCTCTCTGTTGCCGCCTTCCCTGCTTGCCCCGGCACAGTTTTGGCTGGCCTAATTTCAGGTATGGAGAACTCTTAAATGGAAAAACTGGCTCCAGTATTTAAAAAGGACAGAGCTCACGTCATTTTGTTTCATTCTGGACTGTTTCATCATAAGGATTTCAAGGTAAGAAGAATTCAGCAGGGGCTCCTATTGCCTCCTTTTGTGCAAGCCAGAACTTTCCCTGGAAGCAAAAATGATGCAACTGAAGCTGCCGTACCAAAGTATGGCACAGCATGGGAAGCCAAGACCGCCTGGAGAAGACAACCAGGCTAGGGAAAGTTGAAGGCAGAAGAACAGGAGAAAGAGCAAACGTGAGATGTCTTGATTCCATAAAGAAAACCACAGCCTGGGGTTTCCAAGAGCTGAGCAGGCTGTGAAGGACTGGGCATTTTGGAGGGCTTTCATTCTATAGGGTCACCACAAGTCAGAGACAACTTGATGACCCCTAACAAGGAGTCTGCTTGTAGATCATTTGTATATCCCAATGGTCCTTACTTCTGAGCCTACAATGTGGGCACTGGTTGAAAATTCATTTTAACTTGCCCCCAAATGAAAATGAAAATACGACTTTTGGTAAGGTCCGCTTTCCATAATTTCCCTACAGCGTTGTTCGTCAGTTGCCAATGGCAACCTATTTATTTACTGCTGCACCAACAGTCCTGTTTAGTTACGACTTGCATCATGGGCCATTTTTACAAATATAACAGCATAAAATAACTTTCATATCATTCCAAGTCAGTTCAAATGTGATTATTTTTATTTAAATAGGCATTTCACCTCCTAGGCTAATTTTCTCGTGCTGTTCCATGCAGCAATTAGTTGTATTTTTAAATTATGTTTTTAACTGACTGCCAATTTTTATCTGCTTTAGTGTGTGGTGCCTTAATGAGTAAAATGTGATTAGAGATTATTGCGATATTGCTCATTTGTTTATGTGGCTTAATTGAGGTTTTTGTCTTAGATTGTGGATTTTACTGTTGCTTGCCACCTGATTTAATTTCTTTGTTTTTAAAGGAAAGATATAATGAAACAGACTAATGAAGCAAGTTTATAGATGTGCTTCACTGCCATGCCTCATGAGCAAACCACTGTGGACATGGACTACGCTTATGAGCCATCAGTGTGTAGGAAAATGCATTTATATCATTATGTGTAAAGATTTACAAATGTCTCTTTGAATATATGTACTTTGACCAAATCAGCAGCTAACATGAACCTAAATCAGTGCTCACACATATGGGATTATGCTATGCTATGCTAGTCGCGAAGTCGCATCCAACCCATCGCGACCCCATGGACAACATTCCTCCAGGCCTTCCTGTCCTCCACCATCCCCCGGAGTCCACCTAAGCTCACACCAACTGCTTCAGTGACTCCATCCAGCCTCCTCATCCTCTGCCATCCCCTCCTCCTTTTGCCATCTATTGTTCCCAGCATTAGGCTCTTCTCCAGGGAGTCCTTCCTTCTCAGGAGGTGGCCAAAGTATTTGAGTTTCAGTAAAGACTTCCAGAACAAAGCTGTGTTTTCCAGGCATGACCATACTTATATTAATTATAGGGGCTAAGCTAACAATAATGAGCTTTTCAGTATGAAGGTTTCCAGTTGGGCACTGTACTTCTAAAATACTGTCTGATCGAGCCCAGTTTCACACTTCTGAATTTGGATCCAACCCAATGAAATCGATATGCACGTTCACTCAGGGGCAAGTCCCATTGTGGGGTTCACTTCCACATACGTGGGTGGAAGATTGCAGTGATACTGCAATAAATGTGCTGGCCCAGTAACATTCCGAGATGATCATCCAACTTCAATAATGAATTCCTCTGTCAATTACATTGGTTACCAATGGAAGTCCAGGCCCAATTCAATGTGCTGACATTAATGTTTAAAGCCTTTCATGGTTTGGGGCTGGGTTATCTGAAAGAATGCCACCTTTTGTATGTACTTACCCACACCCTGAAATCATTAATGGCCGTCCTCCTCAGAGCCCCTTCCAAAGGAAGCAAGAGTGTGGCCATGAGGGGACGGGCCTTTTTGGTTGTGGCACCTCGTGTGTCTCATGCCCACTCTTTCTTCCTTTGGCCACCAATATATTAATAGTTAGATTTTTGTTCCCATTTTACTATATGCTATTACTGTACTGTATTTTCTTGTTGCTATTGTTATTATTAAAAATCAATAGAAAATGGAGCAAAGGGACGTTCCCTGAGTAGAGCAGAAGAGTCATTGTGTTAAATGAGTCTTAAGGCTGGCAGTCTTAGTTTGTCAAGAACTGAGTCATAAATTAGATAGGATCCACCACACTGAGGCTAATCTGCTAGTTTATGGACTGGGCTGGCCTTAGTCATTTTTAAGTGTTGAATAAGGTGTGCCAGAGACATCCAGACATAGTCTTAACTTACTATCCTTTTGGGAGTTGGTTAAGAATGGGTCATTTAATTAGTTTTATATTATATTGGGGTATTACATCAATTTCCTAACAGGTCTTGTGATTATATTTCTATAAACTATTGTCGCTTTTAAATTTTGGTTTTAAATTTGACGTTTAAATTCCGTGTTGTGCTTTTATGATGCTTTGATTATTATTTTGTATTTTATATTACATTTTATTGCATTTCCCCCTACCATTGTTAACCACACAGAGAGCTTGGATTATTAGGTGGCATAGAATTATAACTAGTCATGATATTAAAGACTGATATGCTTGAATAATATTAGCAGTGATGAAAGTACCCAGTGAATTGGCATCCTTTAAATGAAGAAGCTTCGCCCCATCTTGAGACCCTACTAAACTCTCCTACTGGTGGAAACAGGGGCTGTCCCTATTCAGTGTTCACATGCCCAGGAAGGAAAGAAACGCATTGGTGTTCTCTCCTTTCAGTATTAGGCTGCCTGCTTGATCCAAGAGTTATTTGTGGTTCAGGCACTCAAGAAATGAAATCATGGCAAGAAGCGCCCTGTATTGCATGTGGAGTTAAATTCAGGTGAAATGGGGCCAAATGACTCCTTTTTCAAAAGGCCTACTATCCCCCCCCCCCCCGTCCCTCCCAATGAAACTTCTTTACGGAAAATCATAAGTCTCTCAGCAATGCAGTCGTACTTGAAATACTAGTTTACAAATAGGGGGCCATGAGTCTGAGGAAACTGCAAGAATCTGGAGTGTAGGTTAACACACGTTTATGACCCAAGAATGCTTTCTGGCATGTTCATTGGCTACACAGTTCAAGGATCGTTGCTGAAACGTCCACCAAGTAGGTAAGACCAGCTATGCTAAGGAATTTAAGTCACATCCTCTTGTTGTTTTACCTCCTGGATTTGTTCCCCTTTTTATTGTTTTACAGCTTTGATGGCTTATGATAGATTTGATATTTTTAAATTGCTGTGGAAACAACATAGAAACAGAGCGAGTCAGATGGGACCTCTTGGGCCATCTAGTCTGACCCCTGGCTTCAGCCACCTCCATTCATGACATGCCCACCATGTGCATGTCCAGCCTGTCCTTGAACACCCTCACCGATGGGGCTTCAACCACCTCCCATAGAAGCCCATTCCATACCCTCAGGGTCCTGTCAGGAAATACTTCCTGGTATCCAGATTGAACCTTGGTTCTCTGAGCTTTGCTCTACTGGAACACATCCTGCCCTCCACTGGAGCGGAAAACAGGTCTCTATGCATTTCCACGTGGCACCCCCTCATGTACCTATATGTTGCCAAGAGATCCCCTTGGAGTCTCCTCTTGTCCAGGCTGAAAAGACCCAGCTTCCTCACTCTCACCTCATACGACTTTCCCTGTAAGTCATCCTGAGTGGATATTAATGAGGATACTGGTTTTGAATCAATCAGTGCATTCAATAAATAGTATTTTAAGTTGCTTTTACTTGCCTTTGCATTGATGCATCTCCTTTGTTCTGGTGAAATCCCACAGACCTAGAAGCCAAGACTTCACATTTCTTCCTTGAAGTCCTTGTTTATGGCTTCTCTGCTTCATGTTTGCGGAGGAAGAGTTTGTGCTGCGGTTGACACATAATGCTACAGTGGGCTTGGGATGGAGGCGAGCTGGCTGGGCAACAGGCCCATTGACTGCAGATCTGGGCTAGCATTGAAACCCAAGGCAGTTTCACAGAAGCAAGAGTGGCTGCAGGTGACGGCATTGGAAGGCAGCAGCACAGCGGCCCAAGTGAATGCAGCAGAGAAAGAACACTCATCTTACTTGCAGTTTGATGTGTTGCTAATGCCAACCTGCTGGCACTGGG